GGATTTTCCGGATTTGCCAATTCTTTTCTATTTTCTCCCCTTGTGTGTGTGTGAGGATTCACAAATCCATTTAGATAGTATCATTGCTCTTTCAATCTTCTTTCTATTTCCTGAAGGTTCTTCGGTCATCCTATTATACGAAAGGTGGAAGGAATTCCTGAAATTATCTCTCACACTCTCATCAACATCGTTAATGCATTTGTGAATAATCTGTATTGCCATGAGAGAAAGTCTGCGAATAATTTAATTCCGATCCCATAATTCTCGAGGATGATTTATGACTTGTGTCATTAGTAACTTTGCTAATCAATGTCATTATCGCCCTGTTTCACGCATCTGATGACACACTTTCCGCCTTTTCTGCAGTTCAGCGGCAGAGTCGCGCTGTCTACTGAATTTCCCCTTCCTTGGGAGACCACGAGGTATTAATATATGGTGTTTTGTCGCCTCTTTTGAGCGGAAAAGCCAGCATAAAGCTGATGTTGCGGGATGTAAGAAAGCCAGTGGAGTGGAAAGTCGGTGATGTCTCCATTGAATACGCTTTCACATTCCGCATCCTCGAGGGAAATCATGGGAATCCCACTCAGAGTGATGAACGCTTAAAAAATGGCACCATATCCGTCGAAACGGCAGGGAAATCTCGGTACTTTGCAGACGATGAGAGGACAATATCCCCTAAATGACCATTCACTCAAGGCGACGCATCAGATTCATCAATTCCCATTTGCGCTGTCTTTGAAGCTCTGCCGTGGAGACTTATAAGGATACTTTAAGCGACACGAGATTCCCATCTTTGAGTTAATTTTTCACAGAAAAGCTTCACCATACTGAGGAAAATAGTTATTACCGTCGCCTCGTGCCATTTGATACATATACGATTCGCTACACATTTTACACGCTTGAGGCTGAGTTGTAAACCGAGTTGCGGGGAATTCTGTCATCCCCATTGTCTACCCAAACCCTGCAGCGCGCCATTGAAGCATTTTAATCACATTAATGGCTTGCTGACAATGCCCGCGGGGTGGGAGAGGCCCCCTGGAGCGAAGACAGCCCTTTAGAGTGGAAATGTATCGGAGTTTTCTTTTATGGCCAAACTTTGCGTCTCTATATCAACTTGATTTAATTACACCATCGAATTTCAGGCTCAAAAAATTCTTGCTCTCTACAGTTTTTAAAAAATTCTCATTTGAGTCATGGAGAGATATTTCAGTGCTACACAATCGGATTATTCACTCATCATTTGCCTCAGATTTACTCCCTGTCAACAAATATGAAACCCCCTCTGGGATGTTGTGTTGTCATCACGAGGAAAAGAATGTATATTCAGCAAATACGCGCATTTAGTGGGAGTTTCTGACGTTGTGTCAGTTTAAATTTCATTTCCTCAGTCTTTTTTAACTGGTAATGATGTGAAAATCCGGTGGAAATTCTTAATGGACCGTAAGGAAGTGTCTTGCTAGAGGAAGTGTAAGGAAAAGAACATTCAAATTTTCAAAACTCTCTGGAAAATCACCACATAATATCTATTTTGAGCTACTCCAGTTGCAAAACCTCCCCTTAGACTTCATTTCAGCCCAACAAGGAGGATGAGATGCATTATGAAGTCGACTCAATAGAAAATAGCTTTTCATATTTCCCATCTCCCATTGTATCCTGCCTCGGGATTGAGAATCTGAGTGTGTCTCGTATTAGCCGTGTGAGAACCCTTGAAAAGAAGGGGAATTTCAGCAACTTTTTCCTGTATATCGACATCAGCTTAGTTGCCATAGTGCTTCCCATCTTCACAAGCGCTTCACAAAAATCTCGAAATTTATATCACAACATGTGATTCCTTATTAGTAAATCCTCAACCTTTCCTCAACTCCCGGCAAAAAGGTGAAGACGAGCATTTAGCAGTTTTCTTGATAATGGGGTGAAGATATAACGTGAATTCTCCCCTCTTTATGTCCATCACACTTCCACCAGTCTAATGAATTTTATCTACTGAAACATCTAAAATGCATAAACCAACCCCTTCTCATTTGCAAGGATTATAAGCACAACAGCGAATCTTCACCCTTGCCGGGATTCCATCTAATCTCGATAATTGATAACATTAATTAGCATACGCAAATGAAGTTTTTCCGGGCTCTCTTGCTAAATTGACTTCAAACTCTCACTGACAATTGCATCATCTTCACCCCTCAACTAATGACAAAGTTCCTAATTTAATTGCTGATAAAAGCTGCAGATGGGATTTTAAGGTACGAAAGTTAAACAATTGATTTGGCAGGGAAAAATGAAATATATCGATTTTCCTCAAGTGGAAGAATCTTCCGCCATCAGACATTCTTTGACTATCGACTAATTGTGATAAATGGCACTCACGTAGACATAATTTGTTGAGTGTATTACAGGTCATTCGCCGCAAAAGTGTTTCATCGTGAAGGGTCTTTTTGGCAAACAAGTGTCTCTTCACTCCTAAAGACAATGATTTTTCATTAAACTGCTGAAGATGATTTTTTTCAATAGGAAAGAAAATTCTGCATACAAATCACGTTTGAGAACTTCACAATCTGCAAATTTTTCTTTGCCTCTCAAAGAAAAGAGGCACATGAAAAGAATTGATTCAGTGATATTCAACTGGTTTTGTGGTTTCTAATTTTCAGAAAGGGGCGAGTTTAAAAAGGAGAAATGAGATTACAATCAAGGCGAGATTCTTCAGAAGACTTTGATATTGGAGTATCAGATAAATACTGTAGAAAATCTCGAGTCTTCACAATTTCATTATTTGTAATGCCATCCTATAAAAAAAAGGATCTTGTCAATTTTCTGAATTGCTAATCTTGTTATTGAATATCATCGCGAGATGACGATTTTATTTCAAAATTCTCCCCGTAATTTTATTTTCTAGGGGAGCAATTCAAAGGGTTCTTCTTTAAGCATTCTTATCATTAGTCTAGAGGAAAATATTGACGACAATTACACCGGCTCTGTGTCTTCACGGTGAGTATTCGAGGTCAGAGTTCATGAAAATATGCGGTCGCATCGTCAAGACATTATCGTGGCGCGTTCCAGAGACGTGCTCAGAATCCCGATGGCATCCCGACTTCTCTGTTGCTCGAGTCTTCGTCAGGAACTCATTTAGCCACTCTTCCTCGTGTACGAATTTTTATTCATGCACTTCACACACACGCATCGCGGGTTTAAGTGCCATGGAAATGCGAAGGCAGAGGAGAAACCGCAGAGATGCGTCCCAACAGAGAGGGAGAAATCGATTTGCCTCTATTGTACGGTGCCTTTTGATGAGAAAATTGATCTGCCAACGAGCCACTCATTGAGACTCGATATGAAGAAGTGGCGGCACATCATGAATAAAATTCCTGTATTTAGTCCACATGATGGGGCACTTTTCGAGCTGTGCCACTGCCAGGGTGGCGAATCTGGGCCGAAGTGGCTTTAAAGACATCGCGAGAGGCATTCTGGAGAAAAATAGGCCAAGGGGACAAGAGCAGAGTAGTTGGATTGACTTTCATGCCGATTGAGTGTTTGTGCGACTGAGAGAGGGACCATCTATCATCTCGGCTGGCGCCACGATATCTCCATTTAGACAAGGGGTAGCAACCCTCCACGAAATCACTAAAGCAGCCGCCAGACAAACTGACTAGACGTGTGCGTCTCGCTGGCGTCAAATTGCCATCGGAGTTGAGGAAGAAAAAAGCCAGTGACTTCCTCGTGGCCGCACTAATGCGGACATTTCGCCACAATTTTATTACAACTTCTCTCGCTCAAGTGCCAGATTTTGTGGCATGTTTCTTGCCGTATTTTGCAGCTAGTTTAAAACATCGCTCGTTGGGAACCCTTTTTGTGGCAAATGCACAAGCATCAGCTAGAATAATGAATACATTATGTTTTGCTGATTCTGGAGAATAATTGTTTCATCCATTTGCCACCCCCTAACAGCCGAGGGAGGGACAAATTATTCAGCACAGGAGAACCATTTAAATGGATTGAATACCCGGGATTCAGCGCTAATACCGTCTAATGGAAAATGATCGGCGAAGGGAGAGAGAAAATGCAAAGTGTTGAATTGGCAAAAATGCCATTTGAATTTGCTCATGCTGTGACAATATATTTAGAATGTGGCTTCGGAAGAGCACTTGCAGGAGCGCAAGTGGTGTGATTTTTAATTTCCAAGAGTGCGTCCAAGAGTCCAATCAGTCTGAGTGCATTGCTGGACAAGGGAAAGTGTTTAAATCTTAAGGGTGTGCTAAAGATTCACCAGTCAATTTACTGCTCATTGTGAGCATGGAAGAGGTCCATTAATTGAATCCTGTGATTCTCCTGAATCCGCTTAATGGCTGTCAGAGCCCGTAAAAAATCTCGTTATCTTTTCATCGCTCAATGTGGGAAATGGTCTGAGGACATTCTTCATATGTGTAGACATCAATTTGGCTCGTAATTTATCAATAAACAGCCACAAAGATTGCTCACCATCGAGTCCCTCAGGAGTTCTCATGTTCGTCCCACCCTTGATGAGATCACAGAGTCAATTGACATATAAATGTCGGAAAAGTGGAGGTGAGAGCGCAGGAATGCCTACGTGAGGGAATGAGGGTTGTAACCACTATTCGAAGGAGTGTGCAAATATTGCGTCGGAAGCACACTTAACGTGAACGCCGCTGGATCTAATTTGATCCCCAGGGAGCAATTTATGGGTATATTTCCCGCCGTGAAGAGGGACTTTTTCTCCGCATCTCTCAAATGGAAATTTCTATGTATGTCGACGAGGTATTTTGTTGGTAAACTGCAAAACGCAAATCTTCCAATTCTCCCTCTGAAATCCTCTTTGAGGGTGTACTTAAAATGTGCACCGACAAATTCGCCTGATACGGAATTATTTTGCAGAAACCCATCATCAAATGCGGATTATGCGAATTTATGTCCTTTGAAGCCTGTTATCGCTTAAGAGCAGATCTCCAGGCTGAACCAAATGCATGGGCTGTTAATTGGGGACTTACCCGCCAAAAACTCCGCTGGCACGATCCTTCAAATTCGAAAATCCCTGCATCTTCGGTGTGGTTACTCCAACTGGTGATGTTTATTGGGAGGGCCGGATATGAGTGTTGGCTTCGCGATGGCTCTTGTGATGAACAGTCAAGTCTTATTTATCCATTTTCAGTGTGCGAATTTTACGTCTAGTGAGAAGAGTAATAAAAAAAAAGAAAAATTAATTTTTAAAAATTATTTATATGTATCTTTTCTACTGAATTAAAATCATAAAAGCCAAATAAAATGATCTTTTGCCTAATATTTTCCTAATTTTATTGTATTGTAGATAAATCTGTTTGATCTTCCACTCATTCTTACGTGCATGGATCGATGAAGTAAATCCTGCAGCTCACTGTCAATTAACCATCAATTTCTCTAGACGGCACATTGGCTGGATGCTAAGTCGATCTAAGAGTGGAGAAGAATGATCGAAATGGAAAACCTAGGAAACTAAGGAACACTTCACTGGGTGCAACGGTCTGTCAGAAATGCTCGTGAGTAAAAGTAAAAAAAAGGGAGTGAGACTAATAAAATTATCCTAAATTTACAATAACAATAAGCACTGAACTGAGTAACACCACACACTAGACAGGCAGACAGAGGTTCCTGGCTCCAAGCTGTGCTCTGTCTGTGCCCAGGAATTGGAGCACCGTTCGTCACAGTTAGCAGTTGACTGGGATCTGCTGGCAGTGCCTCTCTTTTCCACCGACCTCGAGCCGCTCTCGCCCACGTAGTTGTCGCCATCGTCTGTCACTTTCCCTCCGCCGCGGCGCCGACGCACTCGGCGTCGCCCCCGCGACCTGGACAGAGGCTGGCCCGTCCTCCAATGGCGTCCGAGGGCGGAGCCAGCGCGGGCGGCGGAAGTGTGCTCCTCGGGCCGGAAGATGGGGGCCAGATCTCCCTCTCTCCACCACCCCCAGTGCGGAATAAATTGCAGTGAGGATTTAAATCCTCTGAAATGTCCCACACTCACACAGCCAGAGCCTTCTGCTGCCTAAGAGTAAGGAAAACTCCATGACAGGATCCCTTTTATGGTCCGGAAATGGGGCAGAACTTGCAGCCATGTTGGCAAGACTGCTGGAGAAGTCCCATCTTTCGGCACTCGCCACTGATCCTATTATCTGATTACGTTCACGTATATGAGTGTTAAAGCATTTTCCTCCTCTCACCATCCAGTCTGTGCGCTAACCGCTCCAACTTCTGCCCTGCTCAATCTCTTAACCTCGCTTTATTGTGAAAATATTGATTACAAAGCTCCATTTTGTTTTATACAGTGTGAAAGTTCTTCTGAAAGCGCTTTAGAAAAAGTTTTAAACTCAGAGCATGGAAAAATGTTCATCGTGAGAAGAAGCAAAATGGCGCATTGCTAGAATCTCTGTGAATCTCTCACACCTTAAGAAAGCAATAAAATATGTATGGGTTTTGCTATGCTCTAATTATTTTTAAAAGCACTGAAAGCGCGCTTTATCATCATTATATGGAGTTGAGGAGTGTGGCCGAGGGGATGCATTTTCTCTTAAGCACCATTTTCCAACCCTCGCGCATGGTTCGACACATCGTCGTTCTGGCTGGCTATTAAGTGGGTAAAAAAGCACCACAAGGGTGCAGAGGGAAGTTAAATTAACTTGTGACACTCTTGCAAAAATCCCAGCCAAGCAGAACAGATAATATCCCCAAAGTTATAGCCATGAAATGAAGTCACAAAATAAATGACGCATGAGATATTCTCAATTGCGTGTGGGTTTGAAAGTGGGAGGAATTTTTGAGTCGCGCATGGGGTGGAAATGGAAAGAATTTAAATTTTAGGCGACATCTGAGAAGGGTGGAAGGGAAGGTGCTCAAGATTTTGCACCATTTCTACAAGATCGACAAAGTGTTTGCTTATTGCCACTTTGGGATCAAACAACCCCTTCCAAAAGTCACCCTCGAAGCGTCCGTCACTCTCGCACTTATTTTGCTATTTGTATATGTCGGCAAACACGTTGGTGGCAAAAAGAATACACCTAATATTAGGGCTGGAGGTGGAATTCCGCCAGTGCGATTGAGTGAATTCTCAATGGCTTTATTATTGAATTCATCACTTCAAATGAGTCTCTATGGTGATGAAATGGATGGGAAGAATTTAAATTCCCATTCTTTCTCTCCTGCTTTAATTTTTCTAGTCAGGGATGTTTCCAAGTCGGCTGAATTTCATATGCGAGAAAAGCTTATAATTTAAATTGTTTTTCCTATCCGAGATAATTAAATTTGAAGCAAAAACCTCTGCTTTTCATTCTCAACTTGTGCATTAATGAGAACAAGCAGTGGCATTAAATATACTTACTCTCTGTGACTAATGGAAAATTACAAATTCTGACCGCAAACTTTCCACGATGGCCCTTCTAGAGACGTGTGGAGCTTCACGGAAAGTCCCGAAAGACTCATGAAGGATCTGGAATGATGTGCAGTGTCGTTCCATTGGAGATTCACCATCAGTCTCGTTGCCATGGCGCAGAAATTCTTCAGCCAATTCTCCGTATGAAGTGGAATGGAAATAATGAAGTTCACTTTATATCATTCCACTCTCATTTCACTGACGCCGCTTCAAGGAAATTCGGGAGAAATTAATAAATTCTGGGAGCTTCATTGAAACTAATTGCTTCAACTTTTCGACTGGAATGGAAAGAATTACTCTTGTTGAAGCGTCAATTTCCATTACACCTCATATTGAACCTCAAATGCAGCGCGTGCAGGGGATGAAATGATTTCTGACATGTCTAATGACTTCCCAACTCTTCTGCCTTGAGGGTGGAAAAGACACGGTCCTAATAAGTGTTGACGCTGGCTTCTCCGATGTCACATCCGATGGTGACCTATTCTCCGGATAAGTCATCCCTGTTGACTCTTCCCCTCCTCCGCCATCACTGTCCACAAATCGAGATTAATCACCAGATTTTGCGGACGGTATCGCTCTCTTGCGTGTTTGCTCAGTGCTAAGGAGGCGGAAAAATGTTTCACCGAAATATTTCAGCCATAACTATTGATCCCGAGGTTGCGGAAGGTCACATGTATGTATATGGATGGAGGTTTGGGGCTCTCCAAAATGAGCCATAACAGTGGCAATTTCTGCTGAGTTTCTGCAATTGAATTTCCCAGCTGAGGTTTGCTCAATCGATTTTGCCACACAGTCGCGATATTGCGAGTGGGTGGCAAACTTTGAAATGTATCTGTGTGTTGCGTGAAGGCGGTCTCCAGGCGTTTATTAACTCTGCCAACGCCTCCAGAATGTAATTCCGCAGTGAAAATTGATTAATTTACCTTGCTAATTGTGCCATAATGGCAATTTGTTCGTGTCTGGAGGCTTCACAATTTCCACGATATAGCAACATTCTTGTGATTGAAGTTAAATGAGGGGTCATAAAATATGCATTTCACATTTTCAAAAAATTACGATTAATTTCAAACCCCTAATTTCTCAGCAATCGTGGAGAAAAAAATGCGGAATAATTGAAATTTCATTTGGCAGCCAGCCAAAAAAGTACATTCAGAAAATCTCAGAGAAATTCTAGTAGTTTGCGTCTTAGTTATTTGTTCGCCCGAATTCCAAAAGGTGGCAGCGAAATCCGCAGAGACGCATGACCAAACTCGAAACTCTTCACTTCAACGGTCCAAATTGATTGAGTGATTTGCAATGGGCATCGGACACTCCAAAAGTCGCTCTCGAGAGGAGAAAAAGCGACAAAGAAGGGAAGAGAGAAGGAAACGCAGGGAAAGGAGAATAAGTGTTCAGCTTTCTGCGCGTTCTTTGCCTGTAGAGATGCTGGAAACTAATTTGCCTCCAATTAAAGTGATTGACAATCATTTGCCAATATTGCCAGGACCAGAGAAAACTAAGGAAGAAATCGAAGAAGTCCTGTCTTCAACTACATTGACAGATTCAAACACCGATTTGTCAGGGACTGAATGGTCAGGGACTAATTTCTCAAGTGACGCAGAACTGCAACGCCGGAAGCCTTGCTTCATAATTTCCAGTCTCCAGTGGTTCGCGCTGCCAGATGAGCTGACTGGACACACTTTGGAGAACTTCATTTTGTCTATTGTGGAGAAATTTTGCTAAATTCTTGTAAATTTGAGTCGCATATATAAAAGGATTACGTCTCCTATTTCTCGTGGCGCCTATTTTTTGCCTCCGCGCGACGTTCTTTCGTCAACAGGACATTTCATCATGTTTGCCTCCATGGCAGAACATTTAAAGGTTACCCAAATGACACACTCTCAGTCTGAGCATATAAAAATATTTATTTAAAACGAGACCTTCCGCCTAGATCTTCACTATCGCGCCCATTATCTTGGTGACCTTGTCGCCAGGAAGAATTTCGCTTTCCTCGACAGTCGTAAAAGAATTTAAGGAGATTGAGACGCTTTCCCCGAGACATGTTTAAATTGAATATCATCATTTCTGTCTCTCTTTCCACATGAAAATCGCATTTTGATTGTTCAGCGCTTTTCACCAGAATTTCAACCTCGCCCAATCTGATGCTCGTCTCTTTGTCCTCTGCGATAGACTCCTTGTCAGCCATTCAATATTGACGAAAAGTGAGAATATGCTGAGTACAAACAAACAAATAAAGGACATGCGAGAAGAATTTCTGTAGAGAAAAACCTTCAGTTTGCTCTGTTTTCTCACGCGCTCCGAGAAAGTTTTCATATTTTTCATAGTCATGGCAAAATAAAAGGACAGTAAGTGGGCTCAAGTGTGAATCATTGGGCTCAATTAATTCTCTATTATGGCCATATCAACGCCTCTTAATGGTGTGGTGTTGGAAAACTTGCGGAGAAACGTGATAATGCAATAATTTCTTAATAGATTGACTTTCTCAGTGATTTTCTTTATTGTATAAATAATGTATCATCCAATCCTCTCTTGTGTTCTTTCTGTTTTCTCATCGCTTTGATGGCATGTCATATAAGGACACTCAATACTTCAGCTAAACCGCAAATATGTCACATATTTGACAACATTTCCACTTTCTGGTTTCATGAACTGCACGCGACAGACAGATTTTTTTTTAGGTGATCTACCATAATGCAGTAAAGCTCTGCACTATGCATTTGTATGGAATTTCTCATTCGGCGTGTCCCCATTCTTGCGATATCCGTTTTCCCAACTTCGAAAAGTGTGACAAAATCCGAAGGAGGACTGTCAATGGGCAAATAAATTGCATCTCAGGTCAGCAAATCGGACTGTTTGTTTTGCCAACACTCTCACTACGTGGCCCAAACGGAAGATACTCGCGCTGTCGTGAATGAGTGGCTTCGCGTTGGCCGCAGCAGTGAATGAGTAATTCAGTGTTGTTGTTTATACGTTTTACAAATGTGTGGCCGCACGTTATCTCAGGGCGATGGTGTGATTCACATGCTGGGACCCCTCCTTAGCCGGGGGGCGAGCGCAAGTTCCAAATGGCCCGAGGGAGTTTCTTCCTAACTGGCTAGGCGACTCCACGCGCTGCGAGAGCAGTGATGCCATCATCAATTAATTTATCACCCAAATGGCATGAGAATGTCATCATCGGACACATTTAGTTCAACTTACTATTGTATTGTTTGTGCAAGTTTTGCTTTTTTTACTTTGACCGGAGTTCTTTGCATGTAAATTGCCAGATTAGCCATTGAATTCACACTCGCGGACTCTGTTCACAGCGAAACTCACCAATTTTGAGCAATTTGCGTTCTATTCATGCCACACAGAGTCCCTTGCCGCCGAGTTACGGTGCTGCTGAGTGTATGTAAAGAGGCATATTTCCCAGATAAATGTCTCTATTTGTATGTCTTACATTAATTTTCCAATTAGGTCTGAAGGTAAGGTAGGCGCAGATGACAAAATATCATTGATTCAGACCATATAAACTATCAGCAGAGAGGCGTCTTTTATTGGTTTGTACATAAAAATCAGCTGGACAGGGTGTCCCAGTTGGAGTGTGGAAACTCACTGAAATTCTTAATAAATGTGGGGAAATTTTTGAAACTGACTACGACACATCCAAGCCTTTTCACTAGGAGTCCTGCGTGGTTTTTCCTAAACTCACCTGTACGCTTCCACAGACCGCCCTGCACTTCGTGGCAGAGATTCTTCTTCTCACGCATTCAGCAGTAAACAAACACCTTGGGCTGTAGCAGACACTGCGGCATAGAAAGTGAGAATATGGTGCGAAAAGCCAACGCTTTCCGCTGTCACTGTCAATACGAAATGAAAATTAGTCAAGTGACATGGACTAATTTCCAGGCGATTGTCCAAAAAGGATTTCTCCAGCCTCGCTGTGCGATCGCTATCGCATGGTGAACATTAAAATTCAAAACCGTGACACGGTGCTCATTTATCAAGTTGCAAATCTTCTATTTCTCCTTGTACGGGTCCTCCTCCGAAGCGGCCACAAATGTTGAGGTATGTTGTGACATGGCTGCGGCATATAAAAATGCGACTGAGGAATGGTCTCGTGTTAGAGGCTGGCGCCTGGTCACTCTCATGAATACATCACGGATGACAGCCTATATTTCAAATCAGCCGGGGATGCATTAAATGCCTGTCGGAATTAATTAACACGGTGACTTGAATGCATCACCTCCAGACGATTATCGCCCGTGATAAGGGGCCAATTTACATACTGACTTGTGTCACTTTCGGTTTTTCAACTGCACAGAGAGAAGCGACGGAATCAGATTGTAAACTTAACACTTGAAGGGGAGTCCATGGAAAAAAGTCTCGGTTGAGTGGGCGGAGCTCACAAACACATTCTCTACTTCAGTGTAATTTTATTTTACCAATCAATTGAATTTTTCATAGGGAAAAATATACATTCTTTGCATTGATTTCACGTCATTCTCTCATCATCTCTAAATGTACGAAATACAACACTGGCGGGCGGCGTTTTTTCCATCCACTTCTAGTGGACGAATCAAGAAGCAATACCACTTGAGATTTGCGATTACAGTCGCCAAAACAATATTTTCATTTCCATAAACTTCTTATTTATATACAAATATACTCAATACAGTGTAAATCCTATATAATCTTAGATTACTACATGCCCATTATTTATTTGACTTGTGTAATACTTGGAATATACATGAATGCTCTCTTCGTTTTTCATTACATTTCTGGCATAGAAATTGCTCTAGTTGCTCCATATTCTTGCTCAAGTTTAATTGTTATTGAAGAAAGGAGGGTGCGGAGGAACAGCTCCAATCGCAGTTAGAAAAGCGGAAAATTCTGCCAAATGGCAATCAAATTAAACATTTATGTACTTTGGTATTCTAAATATATACAGTGTTAATTATAAATAATCAAAAACACAGTTTTCATTATTTGTATAATTTAATTTAATTCTCCCCTACCTACCTAAATTTATCAAAAATTACCATTTCTTTTCTGTATGCAAAATATAAATTCTATCCTAAGATATATTTCATATATCACTCCTAACAATTCTTGAAAAAACAACCCTCTTCAAATTCTTGCTGTACAAAATTCTCAGACAATCTCTTCGCGCAAACACCAAACATTCCACTATATCATATTTGTTAGACTCTTACCTTGCAAATGCAGGAGGGAAGGTTATAAATATTATATTAGGTGCTTTGAGGACAATAATACTTTGTTTTCTAATTTACAATCTAATTTTCTTTCTTTATAAATATCTTCGGTTTTCGGTATCTAATCCAGAAAAAACTGCAGAAAACTCTTACTTTTGCCTAATTCATGGCAAGAATACTTTTATACTTAATGCAAATGTTTAAAAATTAGTTTGGGCTGTGTAGAAAAATGAAACATTGAACGCAAATTTTATGAGTTACTACAATAGAGAATAGCATGTAAATGTCTTCTGTAACAACAAACCTCAGTATCGATTTTGATACTCGATCAAAGAAATGGGGTGGTATTCTGCTCAAATTCTTTAACATTTATCTAAAATTGCAAAATGCGCACTTACTTTTGAAGCCATTCGCCCACAGAGGTTTAGTTCACTGGTTCCGCTATGCACTTGCACTGCTTGATTCTCTGGATTCGCTTCTTCCTCAGCTGAGGCGTCATGGAGGGGCATCGCAGAGTCACCGTTATCCAGGTGAATCTCTTGGGCTTGCAGAAGGCGCACGACTTGAAGGCAGCACCGGTGAGATCCTCATCCTCGAAGTCCTGTCCATTTCGCAATTGATGGCTGCGACCGCGGTTCCTCCTCGGCCGCCTCGGGCTCTTGGGAATGTAGAAGCTGTTGCACTGGCCATAGCAGAAGCGATTGATGATGGTGCGACTGAGACAGCCCTCCTCTCGGATGCGCTGAACCAAGGGTTCAGTCTTGCACCAGTCCTTCTTGAGGTACTCCTTGCGAGTCACCACCAGAGCGTTCTTGCTGGACTTGAGCAGCTTGTCCGCCCTGTAGGCTTGCAGATCGGCAAAAATGTCCTGGCTGGCGGGCCCGGCAAAGGCTGTGTCGTTGTACTGCGCCAAGACGCCTGTCGACCTCCTTCGGTTGTACTCCATGTCGCCGTCCGCCTCCTCATCGTCCAGGTCGTTCTGCAGGAGGAATCGCTTCTCATCCCGCGAGGCATTCTGGCGCCTCTCGGCCAACACCCGATCGATGTGGCGTGTGTTGATGATGTCCAGTATGGATTCAGAAGGCCCCAGCCGATGACTGTAGCAGAGGTACGACATGAGCAGCAACACAAAGCCTCCGCTCGTTATGTTCATCTGCAAAGTGACAAATGGGGAATTTTCCAGTGAACTTCCAAATAGCCAAACAGTTATATTCAAATCTTGTGTGTTTGCTGTTTCCATACTGATATCGCTCAATAAGGCTACCATGAAAATTGACACCGCGCTCGACTAGGTGGAAAGTGCTCGGTGAAGCTTATAAGGAAATTGACGTTTCAGCAAGTCATTAAGGTGATATTTATGTAATTATTGTATCTAAAAGAGGTCAGAAACCTCAGACTTGGAGGTTTATACATATATTCCAAAAATTCCCTTTCGGAATTTCCCAGTGAATTTCATGAAACGCCAAAACCTCTCTTGGCATCATGCACTTCGTAGCTTGCCGTTCTTCTCTCTCTCTCATTCTCACTCTCGCCGAATGGCTCTTTTGGTAGGCACGTGAAGTGTTTTATGAATGGGGATTTCGAGATGCAAAAATGAAAGAGCGCGATTGTAAAATCTCAAAGTGTACACCTTCAGTGCGACCGGATGTGTGAGAAAAGAGTGAAGGAGGCCTAATAGGTGAGAGACCGATGAACGAAGGACTCGTAGGCGCGTACCCACGTGTTACCTGAGCTCTCTCAAGACACTACTGTTCAGTGTGGCTTAATCTCCCCGCATAAGCTGATAATTTTCGTATTATGGGAAGCTCTCGCTATGCATATAGGAAATAAATTGTCTCTTCGTGCTCCTAATCTGCTGTACAGCATTTTGCTTGGGATATCTGCCACCTCTGCATTGTCTCAAATTAAGAGGCAGATATTAAAATATCATTGCCATACGAGTGAGGCTAATTATTGCGTTTTAGCCAAAAAATCTCCTGATATATCTCTTAATGAAACACCTTTTAATTCAAATTGAAATTTATGACGGGAGAGGCATTGGGTGGCCCTTTTTCCTCGCCATCAGCATTATTAGGGTATTGGTCTATTTGACTATGTTAGTGGTTTCTTGGTCCACAATTGTGCCTTCCAGTAGTTTTTGATACGTGGAAAAAATTCTCGGGCAGAATCAACAAAAGGCATTAATGTGTGTTGTTCCTCTCGACCTCTTCGTCTCTTGTACATGCGGCGTGTGAGTGTGCTTGTGGATCACTTGTGTGTTCGACGGTCGGGTATATAAGACGGAAGAGACGTATTAAATAGAGAGATGACGCAGGCCAAAGGTGGGCCCGGTGGGCGCCTGTCTGCTTGGCTTCTTCAAAAACCATGTAATACAATATTGAGTGAATCTCATTGAAAACATTAGCCGGCAGCAACGACAGACTCTCGATCGTCCAGACTCCGCCGTCTTCAGGCGCATCGTCGTCAACAGAGATGGCCCTTCTCCTGATTCCCACACTGATTGCATTCACTTCGGGATAGGACTTGAAATGTGCATTAAAAGATATCAGACACTTTCACCCACCCACAGTTGCATAATGTGTCTCCTCCTGAGTGAGAGACACAATCAAGGCGGGAAAGAATACCATTGGCGACGTTAATTACGTTCCTTATGTCTTGATCATGCTTAATAGACTGGAATACTAGTCCGATCCCATTGCATTGCGACATTGTTGAGTTCATCTCTGGGTGCTGACACAAGTCAGCAATTTCGCAAACTCCGATATATTTACTCCAAACCAATTTATTGCATCTGATTTAATAAAATCCGACAGGTGGGACAGGTCGGGACTGGAAATGACTAATGGGTGATAAAAGGAAACCTCAAGAATTCAGCGTGTTTCTCAGATTTGACCACAAGAACAACGCGCCAATTTGTTCTCTGAAAATTGTAACAAAATGCAGAGAAGATTTAGAATTCCAAATCAATGCTCGACACCTACAGGAGAACAGGGAACCGCCGGCGCACTTGGGCCGTATAGTAAATTATTGCGATAATCCTCTAGCCAAGGTGACGAACACGTCTTTCCAAAACCATTGGAGCCATACCTGAACAATTATAATCTTCGGAAATGTATGCCATTTGGGAATTCTTTGCTCTTTTGCCTTCTCTCGCAGAGAAGCATGCAAAAGAGCATTCTAGAGAAAAGTGAGGAAGATGAAGAGAGATTGCTCAATGAAGTCTGCTGGTCTTGCCCATTAATGGACAAAGGAAGAAAGCAAAAATGTTGAAATTGGTTCGATTACAATAACTGCGTTCTGCTGAAAAAGACTCTAAGCTGGATAGAAAGGTGAGAAGGCGACTTCATCACAAAAGACGTGTGTAAATTTGTGGCATTTTAAGGAACCTTTTTATGAAGATATATTGTGGAATTTTTAGCTACTGAAAGCTGAGTTTTAAACTCGAGGAAGTGTGTAAATATGCCAGAATTTGCCAACATTTTGATGAGACATATTTTCTCAGAAAGGATTAGGGCGCTTCGGAATTTTTATCGTTTGGTTTCTCACGCGCTCTTCTCTAGATATCAAAGACTTGAGGAGAGACAAGAATTCACAAAAAAGAAAAATGGCAAAAGAAGGATTAAATGTATGACATTTCCACAATTCTACTTTGCATTTAAATATTATGCTTTAAATTATACAGAAGAATGGCTTTAAGTGAGAAAGACTTAATCAATTAAAATACAATAAATAGTGAGCTTATCTGGTATTTAGTGGGGGAATTGGCAATAATGGTGAAAAAAATCATGCAAGAATAGCAGCGCTGGTGAATTAATAATTCCCCATGCGTATAAGGCGGGTTTGATGAAGTTGTCGCCTTTCTGATTTATCATTCAGTCCTTCGAAGAAAATATTGAACCAAATCACTTAATATCCGCTAAAACAGTGAATGCGGAAGTGAGAGATTTCACTTAATAAGGAAACCCCAACTCTGTCGCATTCTTAATGCCGAATGATTACATTTCTCATTGTTCTATTGAATCAATTTCAACCCCATTTCGCGTTGACATCCTCCACATGGCAAACGAAGAAATTGCCCTCCAATTGGGTGTCCAAAATGAGGGACATCTCGCCTACAATTTAATTCAATCACAACAAATTGCAGTGGTGATCAAGCGATCATTGACTTTGGAGATTGTGTGGATATTTGCAGAATATCTCTTGCTGGTGGTAATAATTGCCGAAGCATCACTAAACACTGAAGACAGGCATTTGAGAGAAATATTTCAAAATGAGCATCAAATGCAGCAATATTGACTGTCACCAGCGATTAGTCTCGATGTAATTGAGTGGAGTTATGCCCTCTTCCATTGTCGGATGACAATTTGCACGAGTGTGAATAGAGACAAAACTGGGCAAATCAGCGGATATCTCGGAAAACAAATCAACATCTCGCAAGGTGTGCACCCAGCAATTTTCCTCGAGAAATCTCGATGAATTCGTAATCCGTGTGAGGTAAATCACGGATATTGAAATCATGTTGGAAAAAGTATAATTTGTGGCACAAATTCTTGACATTTGTTGTCTGCCCATTTGAAATAATATTCCCAGACATTCTTCTGTGATTGGATAGGTGTCACTGTACCTTCTGCAAATAGAATTCCTGACCCTACCGAATAATTCCAATGGTTATCGCATGAATCTCATCTCGAGAAAATCTGCTATCGTTTACCCCAGCTTATTGGCTTGTTTTGCCTCACTTCTGCCCAGAATCCGAGCCATGGTGTGACAACGAAATGGGCACAGCCCCAATATGCGTGCCTCACGAATGACGCTGTGATATTCCAAGGATTCGTGCGGATGCAGAAATCAATGAATGCAATTGAGATAACAATACATGGGCAGTGTGGCTGCATTTGTTGTCTCCACTTAATTATATGCTATTTGTTGAAATTAACACTCAAGCCCAGAACTATTTGTCCTCCCAGACAATTTCCTCAATATTTTTCAATTGCGATGATTAATTTATGCAAGGTATCTAAATAATCATGCTCAAATGCAAGAGATGAGGAACTGGATTTCTCGATGGAGATACGAAAGTCAGGCTTAGCAGAGCCTAGCTAAAAATAGTATGTGACGATCTATATGGAATATTTCAATACTCCGATGATATTTCAACTGATTATGGTGTAATTTATAGGACTAATCTGCGAAGGAGAATAGCGAAGGCGAAATGCCTGATGAAGTTGTCTACTTCCAACTGATCTGTCCATAAAATACATTGAGATTCTAAATTATGAGAAATTGTACACAATGCCAGAGCGCAGTGGGGCACAGGAAGACTGCGAAGACAGTGTATGGAAGGCTATAAGAAGTTGATGCCTGCATAACTTACATATAGTTTAATATTGATGATAACAAAAATACAAACAAAAATACATTTCTCTCCTACTTCTTTTCTACACAATTTAATTTCATCAAATTGCTCTTTATCGATTTGACATTTCATAACCTAATGGAAATTGGAAACTCACACAATTTGGTCTGAAAAGTCTAAACTTTTCCACGCCAGAATTTTTATGTCTCCCGATGGAGTTTGTTTTTCTTCAAGTACGAATTACGCATTATTGATATGGAGCATTTGCATAAGAAGTAATGTGTGTGTGTGTAAGTAAATAGTCATTTATAGGGAGATTTCAGGGTGAGGGAAATCACTTTATGGATTGGCGTGGAGACACTTTGAGGGATATTCCGAGACATAACTATAAAATTCTTGTAGTTATTCTCCTTCGTTCCATTAAACAATGTTCGGCATTCTCTCCATTTCACCGTGAAATTTGCTGATTTCGAGCCTTTACTGTCTACTGGTCGATTTATTCAAATTGATATAGTCTCATATGTGATGAAATGATGATAATGGATTTAAATTTGAAACTTCTTTGGCGATATTTTTCCCATATTTTCTATATATAATGTTACGTTATTTTTATCAATATAAAAATGCTGATCGATTCGCTCTCATGCGAAGAATCACAGGTCATATAGAGCTGAGCAAAGCAAAAGGTTTATTATGCGTTTTGATTTCCCGAGCTGTTATTTCCAATACGGGAAATGCCATTAATTTTGGCCGACGAGAGATAGTTTAGAAATCCGCCAGCATACATTCTGATTAATGCGAAAAGAAAATTTATGTGTTTTGTCGACCCAGAGACGACCGAAATTTTTCCACGGTTCCCCCACAATCGCTCTCCATGTATGGAAAATGCTCTCTTTAGTGGGTTAAAGGGGGAATATACGGTATAGTTGGTGGATGAAGCATGATTTTTTCGGCAATTTGTACACAGAAAATGGATCGAATGCTGTAAGTTGGTGTGGAGACAGGTCGTCGGAGAAGAAAAAAAGCACACACGGCGTGTGTGTGGAAAATTGACAAACAAGTCGAATGTGTGGAGAAAGAGCAAAAGAAGTCCACACACCACGCTTCTGTATGGAGATTTGTACAAAAGATGCTACCCACCTTATTCGTCTTGCAATTTTATTGTCCGCTCTGTGTAAACGCCAATGGCACTGCCTGGTGTTCTTATTTGAATGGAAAAGTAGAGTTTTTTCAGCCACTCTCGCGACTCTATTCACTCTCCCCAACAATTATTGGCGGGTACCACACACTTTGCGAAATATCAGCGCGCCGTAACACCTTAATTTGTCACCGTTTCTGCTGATTGCTCTCACCTCAGCCACTCTTTTATGGCGCGGGTCTATTTTGCACAAATGACGTCACTTGGGAAAAAGACACTCTTCACTCTGACCGTCACTGGGCGAGCACTTGCGGCCCGAGGGCATCTTCGAGTGGCGCCAGGACGAGGACTCGCAGGTGAACACTCGAAATCGCGAGGCTTCCTATTCAGCTTCGTCCACAAGAAGTCACCTGGCCAACACTGTGCGCGGAAATGATGGTGTCGAGTGCTGCGAAAGCTGAACGGGCCACGGAGATTCGCGCTGTTGATGTTCACCGTTCAAATGGTGGCGGACAAATGTTCTGATTGCTGTGTGAAAAGTTTCTTGGTCTGAATCTCTAGTCTGTGACTTGAACATTTATTGGTTTCGTCGGCGGCGGCTCAAACGGTCGTTTCGCTCTCTGGCAGTGCCTCGCCATAACCAAAACAACAAGAGACTGGTCGCCGGAGTCCTTCTCACTTTTCTCGTCTCTCCCTCTCCTTCGCATATTTATCTCTCTCTCCTCTTCACCATTATCTTCCTCAATACAGATAGTTTGATCCTAAGCATCGTCAAAATCATATATCAATCCCGCGCACATACAAAGAAAATGACTTACAGGCTCAAGTTTTCTTCCTTCCGGGCTCCTCAGCCGGAGTCTGATAATGAGGCGCTTCAGCGGGCAAAAAGATCCCCGAAAAGACATAAATTATGTGGATGATACTTGGGAGGAAAAAGCCTCAACTCAGATGCTAAATGAACGATAATAGTAATAGATTTGGGACTTGTGCCAATTTTACATCGAACTTTTCCCTTTATTGATGCCACCATTGTCTCAAATATCTCGCGCTCCATGGATTGCCAGAAATCATACTTCTTGGCCCGGAAAGAGAAGAAGTCTCGCCGTAAATTAATTGACGAATGAGCGTGAAAAAATGGAATTGGGGGTGAATCAGGAAAAATTGCTGAATGCGTTGGAACTTCTCCAGGAAGATGCTTGTGAAATTCAGAAAAACCCTTAAATTTGCCCACTTCAGTAACGAATAAATTCCCTATTCTCTCATATATCAGCACTCTCTATACATTTAACAGCAATATTACTCGGCTAAGTAACGCGACAAATCAATTTGCCCTTTCAAAGTTCACCATCGTAAGCATTTTGGCAAGTTCTGTGGCAATGAAAAAGGCAAATAAAAATCCGCCACTGCAAATGATGTTTAATTCAGTGGAGAAATCATTGACAGTGACGTGTTATTGGATGGTGTTTTTGGTTGGGAAACGCCGGCGCCTCGTGTGAATTCAAAATAACAATATTATTATCAATATGGCCAATTGATTCCGTCTATATTTACAGTGCCACTCGCTGGCGTTTACCAACAGTAAATAGGGTTCTTCTTGCTTTCTTTGCCATGCACATCGCCTCATTTTCGACTCTTCTACTTAAAGCAGTACATATTATTTTGTATCGGGCATGTAAGAATGTGCTTGGCTGTTTCTAAGAGGATGGATATAAATTGCCTTCCTATACTCCTACAATCTTTCGCAACGTTCGATTCTTCCTCTCTGGGGTTGCTTCTTTGCCGATTTCGAAGCCTGAGACGCTATTGAGAGAAAATATTGATTTTATTTTAAACAGCTTCCTAACATCCTCTTCAGAAGAGGTTTTTTCAAAGTGCGACCAATGCGTGCGGATCGGTTTTTAGAAAATCCATCTCGTTGTGGCTAATTTTAGCGCGCGTGGTGATTAAAAAATGCGTATTTTATTGATAAATGCATCTTCCATGGTGTCCATAAGTGCCATGTTTTATTTTTACATGAATGGATCAGGGCCAATACTTGCGAACAACGCAGCACGATAAACTTGGTCGATCGCACGCGAGAATCATGAAAATCGCGTCTCCGTCGACACGTCGTGGCGACGCCGGATTTAATGTCTGTCGACACTGAGATGTGCGCGCTCATGGGTTCTATAAAATCAAGTCACGAAGAGATCGCACATCACTATTGATGGGAAATTAATTAATCCGCCACGAGAGTGGGAGAGCATTTCGCATTCAATGATGTGATTGATTTCCGAGCATTAGAAAATCGCCACGCCAGGTCATTTTCCAAGTGGACAGCTTGTGGTTTCTCAGTGAAATAAATTGTCTGAGAGTTTGGCAGAGGAGCAAGTGAAGAAGACAAAAAAACAACGAGCGAGAATTCCACCCTAGCGAATTATTGTTACAAATGATATATGAAATTTCACTTTCAATACAAGTCCAATGCATTATTCCCTCATTCGCCATCAATTTGCTGGTGCGGTTTTTTCCTTTCTGGAGCAATGTGCCCTTGTGACCCCTGACAGCATCCACTTACACGCTTGGGAAATTTATACACACACATCGTGTAACTTTGCGGAGTGGAATTGTTAATTTCCTACGCTAGGGAAAATCTTGCGAGACCTTGAGAACTCCATCGACACGACAGTCAAGTTTGAAAAAGATTCTCAATTTCTCTCAATAGTTTCTAATCTTTTCCTGGTGGTGTTTTTCTTCTCCGCGCGATGAGTCAAAGTGTTTGCCAATAAAACTGTCAGTCGGAGGGCGAAGAAGATGTGAAATTCTGTTTTTCATCCACAATCCTCCGTATTCATGTTCACACGGGAGGATGAGTGGAAAAAGATGATCTTATGTCGGGGAAAATGTATTGAGTGTGGATTTGTGGGTATGCGATAGAGTCACACTGGAAGTGTTCGTGTCAGCCAAAAAGTTTTTGGATGATATCGGGTCACGGCATTGTCTCCTACAATGTCCCACCCAGGTTTTGGGGAGTGAGAGAGAGTGAGAGAGGGGGTGAATATGGAGAGTGGATATAGATTTTTCATATGGGAAAATTGCCACGTTTCTCACATAAAATCGTGATTTGACTAAAGTTCCGGAAAATTCCTTGAACACACTTCGAAGGCAAGTGTATTCTGCCCAATTGACTCTTCTGTGGATTTGCCCTTCTTTTGCAATACCATTATTATTGTGTGGTATTTTCTCATATAATTTCCCAAACATTCGACGCCGTGATTCAAAGAAATTCTTAAGATTCGCGTGAAATTCCCATGAATTTTATCCCTGAGAGTGCCAATGTTATTTGATACATAAAATTATTAAATTGACCGCATGTTCCTAAATTGCTATTCCCTGAAGAGCTTTTCACTGCCATTCTTGGAACAGCAGAGAAGATGCGGAGCTTTTCCTCTTTATAGCACTTCTGAGAAATGCTCTTGGGAGTTTTTCCTGAAACATCTACAAAGGTCATCTTCTATGAATACTCCAAAATACTACAGTCATTTTCAATTTTCTTCAATGTGAAAGCTGGAAATTGTGATGTTCAACTCACCATTGCACTGTGTGGACAAATTTCGGTGACATATGGTTTTATATGCATGTGAATAAATGTTTTCTTTCCTATTGCGAAAGGAAGTGAAGAAGACAAGTTGCTAGCTGCGATTCACAAAGCGCTGTTTATAAAGCATGAATGCGCTAAATGCTGTAATGTAATGCTGAAAGGTGTTGAAACTAAAATTTTTAGTGCATTGATTTCGAAAAAGAAACTCAAGCTGGGTTGTCAATTGTTCAAATAAAAATTATAAATAATAGAACAATTTTGAAGTGATATGAATTAAAATGCTTTTGCAAACTACTTTGAAAGACAGTTCATCATCAGAGATACTTACTTTCGTGACATTTTGAGAAATGAAAGAAAGAACTTTTTGTTTTTTTTTTGGCTAAGGATAGAACAAAACAAAAACTAATCTTTATTGAAAAAATTAAACAAGTGAATATAAAGTTATTTTCATAGATCAGAGATATCATCTAAACAGATATTTAAGAATATTCATCAGCTTTAGCGTGTTTCATCTTTTCTGGCTAATTGTAATTTTGAAAATTTTAACAACTAAAAATTGTTGGTGTATTTTGTGTTATTTTCAGTGATATGTAAACTCAAATGTATGTTCATGTGTTGCGTGAATAGGTTTGAAATTGCATCTTGAATAATAATAATGTGTATGTGTGTTATGTAAGTAATATATCCATTTCATCTTGTGCCTGCAAAGAAGTGGAAGGTGGATTTGTGTTGATATATTCTGAACTGTAAGAATTCAACTGAAGGGAAAAAGATATGCTGCAGATTAGGAATATATATTCTATCAATAATAATTAGATTATACATTATTCTTAAGGGAATAAGTTTAACATGAAAATATATTGGAGATTATATAATATAGAATTCTTTTCTTTTGCATATCCTAAAATTCTTGCGTTGATCTTTCCTCTGAAATAGTGTTACCATGGTTCCTATCTTTTTTTGGTTCGACTCGTGTGCTTTTCTTCCTTTCTCTCTTCTACGCATGGGAAAATTTTGGGTGAGTTTTTCATTATTCTATGTTGTGTAAGCCTATATGTCTTAAACTTGATTACAGTAGTTGCTGTGTATGACTTATCATCTCTACACCAACACACGCTTGATGCTGGAATTTCTTGGTGTGTCACCTCTAAATTCCAGCAAAAATTGTTTCTACGCTATTGTCACAATTATATGAATTGCCTTAAGATCTATTCTTGCTCTATGCTTCGACTACCCATCATCATAAGATTTACATAAATACCACAAATGACAATACTTCTCTAGTGTCTCCTCAATTGGATTGTTTAACTTTCCAATTGAGTGCTGAGCCACATGCCTCTTAATTTATGAAAATTCTTAATCATTAGCCTGTTGTTCTTAGCAATCCAAGTACAATGCTGGCATTGTGGCTTTCACTTTCCAATCTTATTCGATATTTATAGTTTTTTTTCCTATATTTCTCAGAACTTCCCTACCACTTACACGTTAATTTTACTCTTTTTTACTTTCTCTGTTGAAAATTTTGCAGCTTTACGCCTAAGTACCTGAAATTTATTACACAATATTTCATCATTTTTTTTGGGAATATTTCATATAAAATAAATGCCTCATCGTAAGTAATATTTAAGCATTATATGATATTAATATAATTTTTATCATATGTTAGAGATTATTTTTAATTATTTATTCTCAAATATTGAATAATCCTTTCTTCTCAATACATTCATAGTTGTTATTTTTTTTTTCTTAGTAATAAGTTTCTCATCTAGGAAATGTGTTATTTTAACCGGTACTCAATGACATTGCTTGATGTTGTTGATGTCATTGACTCAAAAAGTTTGTATAGCAATGATTGTTTTTTGTTAGGTATTTTTCCTTTTGTCTTCTTGGGTTTCTTTTTAAAGTCGTGTGTGTGTGGAAAATATTTTATTCTAAAAAGATACAATCAAAATGTTGATCAGCATTTACTTGATATGTTGATTAAACCTACGTTCAGTATATCTTGCAGGCGGAGCAAGCCCGGCCTGTCAAGGAAATATTCCTACAACTACACATAGATATATTACTCATTGATTAGAGACTTTGATGTTCTTAGAAATGTCTTCCATTAGTACAGTTGTCATTTCAACATCCACATAAATTACGTCATGTTGCATCTGCTTTGCGGTTAGACACATATATAAGTGCGTTAAAATACATTAAATTCAGTAACATGTCAACTTCACAAGTTATTAAAGCGAATTACATATAATCTTAAACGTTATGCCTTGTATGGTTTCTCAAATTTTAAAAAGTTTTGTGTGTGTCTTTTTTTTGGGTCTAAACAACAATAAAGCAAATTCTTATTCTTAATACTCATCCCTCATTCATTCTACCGTTCAAACATTACCACCATCCTTAATCAATACTACCTATGACAATAATCCTTGTGTTTTTCTTGTTTCCCACCACATTTTGTTCTGAAAAATTACTATTCTCCACTTTGGGTGACATTACATTTAATAACTATGTGTCATAATGTGCATTAAGTGCATAACATATTTTATATGGCTTGCAATCAATGTGTACATAATTGGGGCCATTCTAGTCTGCATCTTATTCAGAGACAATAATTTTTCGACGTACATAATACAGGAGGTCTTCAAATATTGGCCGTGTGACAATTAAACAATGCTCTAGATTAGTAACATTATGTCCTATCATAAATATACTCATTGATTTCTACATTAATATTTTTGGGTTTGTATTTGAAACATCATTATGTCCATTGTGAATATGCATAAGTCGTTACCATATGCTCCGTATTTGCGTGGATTGTTTTTATGCGTCTTAGTTCTGTGGAATAAGGGTTTCTACCGCTGATTGTACCATTAGACTAGCCAAAGTTCATCGTCATATCCACACCGACAGCGCCTTAGAAAACCATTCTATTGCCCTTCTTGGCGGCAACGGGAAGTTTCTCACCTTCCAAGTAGGGATTGAATGACTGGAAAGGAAAGATATTCCAATTAAGTGAAATCCCACATGAAGAATGCTCCCAAGAATGTTAATTCACTTCAATGAGAGTTGACAGAGCATGGGAAAATTAATGGTTGTAATGCGGAAATTCCAGCTGAAAACTTTTCCTTCACTCTTTCCTGTGTGTCATTAAAATTGTGGGCGGATCGAAATCGCGCCATTGGTTTATTTTCGGTATCATCGGTGACCATCGTCAACTTTGAACGGAAATTCTTATACCCCTAATTGATTGTCAATAGCAATTTGTCTTGATTTTCCGTCGAACACTAAATAAATTATATTTTGTTTTTGAGGTCAAGCTGTTCCAGCGTGAAGAAGAGCTTACAGGATCAAAAACTGTTCTACTTCACCATTATTTCCCCCTCCCCCCCCTACGCGAGGAGCATGCTTCGCAAAGGGTTTGGCAGGGGAGGAAAAGGACGCGTTTCCAGACACCCACTTGACCTTTTACAAGTACATTGTGGTTAATTAGTCTGTGGTGATATTTAATGAAGCGAGAGTAACCATTTTAATTGACTTTCTACATCATTGTACTGTAATGACGTTGTTACAGTCTCTGTGAGCACTATTCGATTCTGTCAAGTGCAATTATTCAGCACACAAATGACGATAAGGGAATTTCGTGCCAAAATAGGATTTATCAATAATGTAGGCTAATCCTCGAAAACCCCTCTAGAAATCCTCAATGTCGCCAAAATTGGGTTAATGAAAAAGAAACAAGAAGCCAGGAAGGCGGAATTGGGTTAGATATAAATCGAACTCATCATGTGTTGTGCTTCAGGTTCCAAATTGATAACGTTATACACAATATTGTGGTAACAAGTGTAAGATATCGATCCAATTAAAATTGTAGTGCATGTATTTGGGAAATTGAGCACTGAATATTCAGCCGAATTTTCCAAGATGCTTAATAATAGATTGGACTCACCTTCTTGCTGTGAAACTTCTTCGCCACCAGGTTCTTGTGCTCCTGCGTGTGGAACTGCTGCGCCAGGAAGCTCTCAATATCGGAGTCCATCTGACGGCTTGGCTCGCCCTGATCTTGTCCTGGGCAGTCAAACATATGCTCGCCGTCACACATGCACTCCTGGGCCGCCTGGTATTCACGGCTGAAGGCAGCCGTGTTCTCAAAGTCCAGCTGGCAACCTTGGTCTTCGGTGTAGCCCACAGGGCACGGATTGGGTGGGTTGCAGTATGCCGGCAAGGTTGCATCGGTCTTCACCTGCGACGAGAAAGAGAACATTTGAGCATACTTTCACTGGATTTCACTGACGTCTCTCACTTGAGGCTTGACGCGATGGGGTCCTTCGCCGGCGCCACCGGACATGTACTGGTGGCCCCAAAGGGTGCTGTGCTGTAGGTACTCCTGGTCGCGGAGCGAAGGACTCGGGTTGCCCTCCAGGAGAGCGTCGTAGTCCATCTGCTCAGCCTCGAGGTCCTTCGAGGCGCGCGCCATGAGGGCCAGCTGGTCGTTCACGGGCAGCGGGTCGATGTAGGAATCGGCGGCATCCGCCAAGTCCTTGCCCATGCGATCCACCAGCTCACGCAGGAGGGCGTCGGAGAAGAAGTGCTCCTTCACCGATGGCGACAGGTAGGCGTCGCCCGGTCGCACCAGCGCCACAAGGAGGGCGAGGAGGATGATGGCATTCCTCTTTGGCGACATGGTGGCTCAACAAGTGGCGAACCTGCGGCACAAGAGGGCATAAAGTCTCCCAGTCCCCGCGGGAAAGTCGCCAGGAATCTGAGGGGAAGCGTGCTTCGGCTCAGCTGGCAAAGGTGGTCGGCACAAATCCGAACCACCTGTTGTGAGAAATAATCAATAGTGAAGAGGGAGCGCTACGTCATCGCAATTATCAGGCGACTCCCTCACAAAGATGGTACACTCCCATGGAAAAATCGATAAACTACGTCGAATGTGAATTTTCCTGCTTCACGCAACCCACCTAATTCACAGTCACGTCTCAAGGGCTCCCTTATGCACTCAATTGCGTTGCTGAGTCAGCCATTTTCGGGCGAAATGGGAAAATTCCTCAGAGAAAAAGCCCTTTTCGATGTGAAACATATGGAGGAATATGCAAATACGGCAAACACCCAGTGACTTACCACTTGTTACTGTAGAAACACAATGGAAACGATTTTATTAACTCAAACCCCCGTTGCGGGGAGGAAAAACTGACTGAACAGCCACGGGAATGTGGCTTCGGCTGAAGGGCCAGATCAGCACTGATGGGTTGCAACTGGCTGGTCTTGCGTCAACGCAGTCGAAGACAGAGGAAAAAAGTCACATTTTCACCACGATTTGTGCACGATATGAAGTCATTCAGAACACCAACTTATTGATTTTCCTCACTTTTCACCATTTTCCGCCCACGCGATTGTTTGCCGCACCTCAACTTTGACGACTTCTCCAGACTCCAGAAATCGCTTTGCCAACTTTGTGTTACATTTTGCACAGATTCACGCCTAATTCACGGATTTTGAAAGAAATGCCGACTCTGGAGCTTTTGGTAGAGCGCAAAACCTCTCACAAAGTCTCCAGATGGAGATGTGATGCTCGCAAGCCTTCGAAAGTTGCGCTTTGAGTCTCCAAAAGCCGGCCGTTTTCTGAGTATGCAACAGACAAATTGCACCGGCTTACAGTGAAATAAGATTGGCTGAAGGAATAGAAGAATAAAACCTAATTTCACTGAGTATTGGAATTACGCTTGTACTTATAAAATCATAAATGAACTTCTGTTGTCTATTGCCATATGGCTTCTATTTCACTTTAACTTCCCTGCTTACTTGTGACCTCGAAAACTCCATGATATTAATTATCAAGAATTAATTATGGAGTAAATTTCTTTAAAAGAATTTATGGTAATTGAAAATCAGCTTATTTTTGCACAGCGACAGAAAAGTATTTTTGTTAGACTCTTCGGCTCTCAGTCAATCTCCAAAGCTCTTTTCACCACTCTTGAGTAAAGACTTAAACCATTTACCTATATACATATTTATATACTTCTAAATATACCAACGATTATTGTTTTGAAAATATCTCTCCCCCCGGCAGAGTGCCTACATATATAAATTCCATCAGCAAATAATCCTGAGGTAAAAGTATTCATCCGTTACTTAAAACACCCTTTCAATAATCCAAAACCAACAGAAAATAAAATATGCGAGGACACTAGAAATAATATATGAATCGATCGAAGCATTATTTTCTAATCCCTTCATAATTCATCGGACTTTGAATAGATTCGAGGGATTGGAAGGCACAATGGGACAAAAATAAGAAACATCCCCATCGAAAGTAGTTCAGCGACGAATCATGATTGATTCAACATTTTATGGCTATAAAAGAGAACGATTGTCAATACTGAAATTAAACAAAAAGTTACAATGCTCGTCATTTCAGCAACTTTGAGTTTGTCTTGTGCAGCTATTTTTAGAGTTTGGGAAACTTTAAATTAACTTTTCTGGTGGTTGTTGAAAAGAAAATCAGCAGTCAGGCAGCGTTATGAGATTGATAAAGTTTCAGATACATTACATATTTAGAATGTTAAGTACTTCTTGAGAGATTCACGCTATCCGATAAATTGGCATTTTTTCCGAGCATAAGTCAAAGTTTTCTTACTTTATAACTGACATTTCACAAGTCGCTTTCAAGATTTTTTTTTAATAAGGTGAGAATATAAACGATCTTTTTTCCAATGATACTGAATGAAAGAGACGAAAACAAATTCAGTAACAATATTTGGAATTATCTCATAAATTTGTGTTGAGCGACAATAAATCAAATCGCCTTTATGCAGCTTTCAATTGCGTTCGCTTATTTATGGGACCATCCGGAAGCCGCCACGGGCGATGCCATGAAAGGAACTGAAAAAGCATCAATGAATTTCCACAGGCATGTCGTAATTAATTCTCCCTGTCACCGGAAGTGAGCACAAGAGAGGATGCACGGGCAAGAGGACCTCCTCGTGTTGCCCATTATATTCCCTCTGCAACGGGTGTCCATATGGAGGCAAAAAGTTGGTAATTCACTTAGAGAAAGTGCCATAGTCATCCGCCTACTCTCGACTCACCCACCCACACCCCTGCGGAATCTCCCCTGCAGTGGGGCGGCTGAAAAGTGCGCAGCAGAAGAACAAAATACGAAGTGAAGCCCCAACACACAAAACAAATCGAACCCACTTCCCTCGTGAGCCGAGGGCTAAAAATAGACTTGGAGCCAAAACTACCCTCACCACTGTAACTTGTGGGGCCGCAGCTTTTCTCCTGCGTTCGCACTTTTGCGCTCCCCCGAGCAGCATCCACTCCTCCGCAGCTTTTCGGCGTCTTTTCGCCGTGGTGCCTGAGAATGGGGCGCGACCACCCCTTGGCCCTGCCGTGCTACCAAACTATTGCGACAAAGCGACTCATTGAGCGCTTCTTTACTACAAACACTCTCGTGTGGGCGGAATGGCACCACCACAGTGGAAGATGGGCCAAGCAAACACATCACTACCATTTTCGCAATCACCAAAATGCGGAACAACACCAGGGACGAATTCGGGGTGTTTCAGCGAACTTTCGGAATGTGCAGATGCTTGAACTTTCGACCAGGGAGGCATTCTGTTGGTGCTCAAATCCGAGCAAATCTGGAAAATACTCCTTCCTATAAACATCGCTCTCGGCATTCTTGCCATTATATTATGGAGATTATTCCAACCTCCATGCTTCGTTCTTTCTTCACTACAGCTTTACCAGATTCTCATTCCATTCAAGAGTGGCAAGCTTCATTCAGAAATATAGTTTGAAAGCATTTTGGAAAATTCTTCATAGGGAAAACCTGCTGTTAGAGTCTATTATGTTCACTGTAGCATTAAAGAGTGAAAAATCAATTCAACTAATCCGTCCAAGATTTGTCAATTTTAAGGACAAAACATGTTTATTGACACTCGCGAATAATGTCGCGCAAAAGCTCGCCGCCACTATAATGTCGCAATTACAATTCAATGCGTAGTGAAAAATTGGAAAGGGGGTGAAGCCACTCGGTCGACACACTCTAGCACGCGACGGTGGAAATTCCAGGAGTTTGGGAAACAGGGAATGGAGGGTGTTATTGGCCACAGTGTCGTTCAGTTTGGCTGATTGTGTGGCGACAGTCTGGCTAGTCGTTTAAAAAATTCTTCCTCAACTTAAGGAACTCCAAACAGTATTTTTCCAGAGAGAAAGGGAATTATTATTCATTGCAGAGAAAGAGAGATAGAGAGAGAGAGAGAAAGAATAATTTCCAAGATAGCAATTTTCGAGTGTTCCCTTCAGAATTTGAGGGATTTTGAGAGGAAACTTTTTGCGTGTTATAGGATAAATAAGAAGGAATGGAAAATTTATCTTTCTCGAAAAGGAAAACAAAGAAAGAGAACATCTTCCATAAAAAGACAACTAAATAACTCTGAGCTTTCTGAAAATTGTTCAATAGGAAAATTAATATTGACCACCCACGTACTCGAGGAAATGTTAACAGTGCATTTTCCCTGCGATGGAGCATCTGTTGCAAAATGAAATTTCTCTGCTCACCAAAAGCTGCACGCTCTGGAAAAGTGTTCCAATGTAGGCGTAGCTCGGCCCAGGCACCAGCTTTTCCCCGCAAAATAGGTGCCACGGTGGGAATATTATGTGATAACCACACAAATCACGTTATATCATCATGCACTTTTACATTGGGTCGCCGATAAAAATAGCCAAACGAAAGCTGTTAACCGACAATTGAACGTGAATGGGAGGTGTAATTGCGACAATCTGTTACCGCATCCAATGTAATCCGCAGCATCTGCGTCATGTTATCAATAAATATCAATATAAATCACCATCATTCGCACGAAAGCATGTCTATTTGCATTGGCGATGTAATACACTTGCGATATCATAAGCTTCTGATAAGTATGAGACTTTTGGTACACAATGACGGGCATTTGTAACGCAATTCCGGATAAACATGTTTCTCATCACACGAGGGGTGGAGTCAGTTGCTCTACTTTTACGTCAAAACACTTCAATCACTCTCTTCACTGCTCTGAAAGTAATTTAAAGTGTTATCTTGCAGATATTTTGCCACACAATTCATAAGAAGTTTACTAACTTTGCACAAGTACACTTTCGACTACTTTGGAAGTGGCAGTAAATAAATAAAAAAAGCACAGAGAAGGATTTGAGACAATATGATAATTTACATCCTTTTTCTCAATAAAATATTAAGGTTTTATCATCAAAAGAGATACTCATACTCCTGCTATTATACGAATCTTTTCACAAATGAAAATTTTAGATAAAAAAAATTTCTCCGAAATTTGCCTTTCTCTTTTGCTCAAAGAAAACACGTAAAATCTGCTCAAGAGAGCGAAGAAGTGATTTTCACCCGCCTAACATTTATTTTCTCGACGGCAAGTCTGGTGAATTGAAATAAACTCCGGAGATCAAAAGTGAAATGTGAGAATAATTTATTCAAGATTAAATGGTTGACTTTTAGGGAATCACGCAAGATGTGAGAAAAGTCATGGTGAATTTACACATTGAGATTATGGAGCTTTCGAAAGCTCGTGCTAACTTTGCTAAAAATAGTTTTAAAAAGACCGGAAGTCGCATGTTTTTCCCACACAGCCAATTCCGCGCTCTTTTCAAACTTGCCCCCAAAAGAAGCACACGCCGCTTTGTGCCCGTTTTAGGAGCAGCACATTACAGGTTTAATAATAACTATGAGAACTACCATGAACTTTCACATAAGTTCTAATCTTTCGTCCTGCAGTGACGCTGGCAAACAACAGGCGGCATTGCGGTTACTTTTCCAGTATTTTTAGCCATCTGATTTCCAGCACGTTTTCCGACCTGAGTCGCGTGCTCGAAGCGGGTATGTAGGAATTATAGATGGAAGCAATTACCCAGCACTTATGGGCGTTACAGCTATCTTGACTCGAATTTATTTCACAATTCTTGTTTCATTTTTTTTTTGGTGGTTTAAAAGTGTTATTTCGAGACTAGAACATGCATTTGGACTCGCTAGCTTCGCCAACATCATTTCAAATATAACTCATGAGGATTAATTGAGTTGACCATTAAAATAAATTTGATTTTTAATAAATTATTGACGGTTTGTGTTTCATAATCAGTTCAAATTAATTATTCATACTCGCATTTGAAGAGGAAATATATAAATAACCAATCAATTGAATACGTTAATTGAAATTTACATGAATTGATTAATAGTAGAAGGAAAGCATGAATATGGAGCTCAGAAATAGAGTTGAATTTTTCCAGTGCACGAGGAATCATACTGAAAGTTTGTGTCCACGAAAGAAATCAATACATTTCTAGTATCCATTTTTAATGTGCACTGTGGTAGTGGCGTCAGTTTATTCAACTAAAATGTGATGCAATAGATTCCCCATGACGTCATATCGTGTTCCATTGAAAGTTCGTGCTGTAAATTATTAAGTAATTCTAAATGTCGCGGTGATTGTTACAGGTTACATTTTCTTTTTTATCAAATTACGTGTTTAAAGCGTATTTGGCTCTTGACGTGAGCAGAATTTTTCGATGGAAATTCTCTTAATCCCCTCGGGAATTGTATTAAATTCGCGAGAAAATTGTTGCACAGCTAATGGAAGAATGATGAACAAAGGGAAGTATAGTTGACCTAATTCCTCTCTTTCCCAGAGACTAATTGAATTTTCTGATTTCTTCCGAGATAAAAATTTCTCGGGTGATTGCGTGAAAATCCACTCCCAATAATGGTGTTTCTCCGAAGTCAGGGGATTAATTGATTATGCCTTGGAATGGGACTTTGTGCCATTTCGTTTTATGTAAGTATTTTACAGGTGTTATTGAGGATGTAAAATTAGTGCCATTGTCGCGTATTTTCCACGAATTTTCTCAACCCATTTCGCAATAATTTCATGAATTGAACTTTTCTCTGAATACTCCAAAAACCTTCCCCTCAATTTTTCAGCCCACACACACCTCTGGAGCCCAGGTTTTCGTGGCGCAAACGTGGATCCCCCTTCGCAAAAGGGCGACCGCCGAACATTCCGTGTGGGAGGCACAAAGACACAATGGCGGAAGAGGAGCAAAATACGCGCTCGAGTTCTCTAAGAAGCCCCAGGAGTTAATGCCGAAATCCCTGAGACTGCACAGGTCCATCAATAATGCAGGCTAAGCCCGAGTCCCGAGGCTCTCCACCCCAAAACAGTGACTCAGCATGACCGCCCAAAAGAGCCGCGACGCCACAGAGATTGCATGGCTGATAATCTCACAGGGTGGATTTTGTGAATGAATTTTCTAGACAGAATATCTGGCAGAACGTTGGCGTGCATATTGGATGGCCTCCGAGCACACCCACACAAATCACGACGATATTTTAATGGAAAATGGAGCAAGTAAATACCATAAATATTTACTTTTGAATATTTTTGAATAAATCAGCGCGCAAGAAGCCGAAATATGCCTTGCACTCCAGTGTTTTCAGAGGATTTGGGATCCCATTAGCGCACATGAGTGGCAGAAAATAAAACGCAAAATATCAACCAAATTTACCAGTGAGTTGATAAGGATATGCCAGTTTTGAGGAGGATGAGGATTCTCAGAATGCGGATCCAGGATGATGAAATGCATAACCATATTTTACGGTTGAAATCATCTAATTTGACCCTGCGTTCAGAATGACAATGGATAATTTCCCACAAGGCGAGTGTCTTGAAAAAACATTTTGAATCATAACCCTTCCTTTGTCCCGATGGTCCTAATACACTGTCATATTCTGCCACCACACATAGATACATCACTTCATCTGATGGTCGTATTGACGAAAGTCAACTTGAGCAACACAATTTCCTAATCATGTTCTTATTTTGTCGACGTCATCCGTTGATTATTGATCGCTGTGTACTGCTCGTCAGCCAATCCCCGTCGAATCTCCAATTTTGCACACACACATACACGCCAGCAGGACTTTTCCCCGCCACACTGTTGAACTCTTGACGCACTCACCATTATCTCTGCCGCCCGTGTCGGGGAGCTTTCATCCCCACCAGTCACGCCAGCGCTCGGAGGGAGAGTTTCATTGAGAACGTGTGGGCGATAGACAAGCGGAATAGAGGTGCGGTGCGCGGCAAAGTCTATAAAAGCACGTCCAACCGACAGCCAAGAGACACTCTGTGAGATTTTTGCTGTGAACTCACTCCTAGTGCAGCCCCGACGTTCTGGCCCTCTTTTTGTTGTTCACACAAGTCTTGGAGTGGTGGAGCCAAATCCGCAGTTTCATTGAGTGAAGTCGAAACCCCCAGAAAGTGGTGCACATAACAATTATTGGACATAGAGTGCAGTGTTGAGTTGACTTTGCGGGCATCAGTGAATTGAAGGCTTCCCGTCCTCGGATTACAATCAGGCCTGATTAGAGGTGAGAATCGCATTGATTTATGGTTAATTGCTTTCTGATTTGGGCACGTTTCGCACCATAAATCGATAGAGCTACGCAACAAAACCTGTTGAAAATAGGTCATATTGGATTTTATGACCTAGATTTCATTTATAGATTTCCAGTGAAACATTCCTACCATTTCCACTCGTCATATTATCGTCAATATCAGGATTTAACAGTGCATTTTTCTTTCGTATCAATTGGCAGATATTAAATCGAAGTCATGAATCGCATCACTGTCGGATTCGGTGTGCTGGTGACAATGCTCCTCCTCACAGAGGCCTATCCAATATTTGGGACGAAGCGCTACCATCGCGCCAGCAGTATTCCACTGCAGCTCAGTCCCATTCCCATCTACACAGCTGTGCCCCAGTATTACGACTACAGTCCCTACGAGGCGCAGTACCAGGCCTTCGGACTCCCCATCTACCATGGAGAGTACAAGCCTACGCAGTACTACTACGCCCAGGGTCCGAGCTACAGCTACTACGACGACCGCGGCGACGACACACCCAATCCCATGGACCATCTGCACGAGGAAATGCTCCAGGAGGAGGAGCGAGACCGCTTCCACGAGAACAGCCTGCCCATCGGCCAGGAGACATGGTATGCCGAACCAGCTGGCCGACAAGACTCCCTTGCGAATGCCAATGCGGCCTTCCTCAGGAACCTGATCGCCTACAATCGCCAGATAAATGCAGCGGCAGATCAACCAGAGGAGGGCGAATTTGAGGAGTACAGCGAATTCAGCGATGGCGGTGGATATTTCGATTCTCCACAGATGGAAACGTACAATTACAATCCCTACGAAGCCTCACAGAGGCAGAATGCGCGAGAAGATGAGGATGACGACGTGCAGGAGCTGAAGCATCTGGCTTACGAAAAGGAACACAGTAATCCTCAGACGACCATCCACAAGTCTGCTCCTAAACACCAGCCAGCTGTTCAAGACACTTGGAATCGTGGAAATGACGCATCATTCCATCAGTACGAGCCCGATCCTGAGTACGACGATGAATGGATAAATTGGGACAGCAAGAGAAGCGTTCAGGATGGTTCTATCCTTGCGTTCAGCGACAGGAAACCCTCAAATCTGGTGCCCAAGCACAAGGAGGAAGCTTCAACGGTGACACCAGCTGTTACGGTGAAAGCCAAGGAAGTCAAGGGAAATGGCCAGAAGGAAGTGGTTCTACCGCGACCAGCAACTCCGGTCCACCAGCCATTCACTGCGTCCGCCATGAAGTTCCTGCAGCAGCAAGGAGATGTGGCGGCCAAGGAGGAGCCGAAGGATGCTGAGAAGCGCACCACTGGCAAAGGGAAGCAGTCGGTGTACGACACCATCAAGCATCTAATCGCCATGGAGCACAGTCTAGAAGAGGTGAGTCGATATCACTATACCACCCCCGCCCCTCGCCCCCGGGCTGTTCCATGATGCGTGGCATCTGGTGGGCCAGCAGAGTGTGAGATGGTCCCTCTAGCCATCTCACTTTCGTTTCATTCACAAAATTGCGAGCACTCCTCGCCACCCTCCAGGAGAGCCCATTATTTTAGGCCCAAGGAGGCGCCGCTCTGCTGGCTCAATTTGACTTGTGGCGTCATTGGATTTATTTTTGCCACCACCCACCACCCATAAGCGCCCCATTCAGCACCGAAGTCGTGGTGAGAGGCGCTATTTTTAGCTCAGCATATCTGTGTGAATGGAGGCAGACCTCTTATAATTTTACCACTTTTTCGCTCCTCAACTATACATACACCTCCGTTCACACCCTTTGCATACTGAAGGAATTGTATTTCACCCTTTCTTTCTCTCTCTCTCTCTCTCTTTTCTCTATAATTTACCCAACTCTGGCATAAGCAGAATGCCCAGAAGGAGCAGCAACAGCTGAATCGGTTGAAAAAGCGATTTGTCACAAATGAAGAAGGCCTCGTGCAACAGTTGGATGGCCTAAAGAGAATGGCATCGTAAGGAAATCAACCCCGAAGTACCCTCACCGACAGGTAACAGCCATATATTTCCATCTGCACAACCTATCCTTAGTATTAACTCAGAAAGCAGATCACAACCCACAAAGAACGGAGATCTTGTTTCCAAACCCTCTCTAGATGACCATCTAACAATTTGTTCAACATATAGAGCAGATCTTTTGACTTAAGACTGATTATTTTTAACAAAAAAAAATAAAAAAAGAAACGATGAGAAAATTAAACAACTAAAAAGAATTTAATGAACGTTGAGAAAATAGCCAAATTTTAAGAAGAAAAAAAAAATGAAAAAGTCTTTCGTGCGAACACATCTTTGCCAGTCTTTCAAATTCGGTTCAATCTGTCGCTCTCGACGGCAGTCACTCTTTTCTACGTACACTTATATAATACGAGCTTTAAAGATAATAATAACAAGAATAAAATCTAACGTTAGGGGAGTTGTTGTGTTGCAAGTTTGGAGAGTTTCCCACTAATTGAGATGACAGCTGGTTGATTTGAGGTGAGCTTTCTCAAAAGCTCCCCTTATATTTTCTTAGGATTTGACAAAGGCATGATTATGTGAGATTATCTAACTAAAAAAAAATAGGAGAAGTTATAAGGAACATTATGAAAAAAAAGACCCTTCCAAAGGCAGCTAGAGTTTCCTTGAATAAAATACTTATGAAGGACTATTAGAAGATGATAAAGTAACATTTGTATATAAAACTGAAAATGTGCATTGATACACTATAATAATAACGCTTTAAACATAAAGGATGAATAAACAGCATAACCATTAAGTCCAGTAATAAAAGTCATAGATAATAAACTATGCATTTTCGTCTAAATGATATATTGGGATCCGTTTTAAATATGCAACGTATGTATTATTTTTCAATATTGACACTTATTTTCGATTCACGGTAATCATATGGGCAGCGTTATTACTGTTGAACAAAACAAAAAGCTGAAGCATCAACTAAAGAGAAAAAAGGACTGTGTACATTGATAATAGTAAAATAGTCTTATAAAATATTCTCTTCTCAAGCACATGACGCCGTATCATGAGGTTTTACCATAAAATTTTATGATTGCTTTTATATTCACTATCTCTCTCAACTCAGTTCTCAAATTATACTTCATATTCTTCATGGAAAATGAATTATCTCAGTTTGATCTTCGAACATGTTTTAAAGTTAGACTTTATTTGAGAATTTTTACGGATTAGAGCGCAATTGTAGGAGTAGTTAAAATGTTTAGAAAAGGCTGTGCTATCGAGAGAAAGATATCTAATAACTTTTTACCCTTGATACGGTGATTTGGTACTTTGAGAATTGCTGTTCCTCTATTTTTGGGCTTAACAGTGTTTGAAGGAGAAATATTTAGAGGATATATTTGCTTAGTAACATTAATACAATACGACATGTTGAGTCAATAGCAGACAATTACAAAGAATATTGAATAGTGAGTGTTGTAACAATGCCTGGGCTTTTAGCAGACAACGCTTCTGACGGGAAGACAGTGTTTGAGGCTATAATAGTGGCATACAATAATTAACCAAAGTACACATTTTGACATAAATATACTATGCTAAATATGGGAAAGTATATTGTGAAAATAACTAGAGATTTGCGAGAGTGAATTATGTTTTAACCTACAAAATGTTTGCTCAAATCAACCCTGAGAAAAGCACTTTTCTCCGTATGCATATGCATTATATGTACACATATACAATATTGTCGAACCATTTAACGCTCGCAACAAGTGATTTATGCCAGACACTTTCTTTCTGCACATCCAAACGCTACTCTTTGTGAACCCTGCCAATTTGAGCAGATTCTCGAGTCGGAGCTCAAAAGGGAATTAAATATCTAGTTGTTCTTGCAGAAAAAAGTATATGCATACTAATGGCTTAGCTTTGCATACGAGTGGGTGGGAAAATTCAAAGAGAAAGAGCTTTCATGCGAATTTCATCAGGGCGCGACGGTGTTGTGAGAAAGGTGTGGAATATCACCCACCTTTCGGCACTCAATAACCCAAACTGGAAAAGTTCCTTTCGGGCTATTGTCCGCACGTGCACTGAGTCAAAGGTGAACTTCTCATGGCTCAGAGGTGGGCAAAAAAGGAATGGGAGTGAATTTAGGGACAAAAGACGTCAATACTGCTAACAAGTTGATTCCTATTCAAGCCAATTTTGGGCGCAATTACTTTTAATTAAACGCCCACAATACCAGTAAATTCCATTCTCGAAATACAACACCCGACAGGTAGGAATATTAAATATTTAGGCAGTCTGTGATTCCAAGCTTCAAGGACCTTCTTGCTTCGGGGGCTGGATTGGTATTTTTGTGAAGAAGACGCCGCCCAAAATAAATCATCGAGCAGTATTGAATGTCTCTTGTGGTCTGCGGGGTGTATTTTCGAGTATTTAACGTACCTTTAGAGAAAGACAACTAAGTAAACGAATATTTCTATACAAAATTATCATTATTTGATAGGTGGTTATCTAATATTTCTTTCCTCTTCCACTATAGGCGTAGGATATTAAGGATATTTTTTGTATGATGAGAGACAAGAGATTATATTTATAGATATTTGATACTAAAAGATTGTTTTTCCTCTTGAGCTTTTCTTTCTCACCCTCGATGGCCTCAGCAACAAAGCGATAACACACGAAATTTTACCATCTTTACCACAATACACTATGAAAATAAAACTGACGTTTTGATTTTATCATTCTGAAAGAAAAAAAATTGACTAATTGGCTCAACAATTGAGGAATTTCAGATGGAACCATTTTTCCTCAATTTTTCTGTTAATTTTTCAATGAAAACATTCATTTGAATTGGCAATTTCAACGTGGATTTAAAAAGAATTATGGTTTTTGAATTGAGGAGGATTGAAAAGTAAAATGAGAAGAAGCTGTTTTTGCACAAACTAAATGTTCTAATGAGGATTGAGAGGAAGGATCATGGAATTTGAAGTCAATAAAGAATTAAGTATAAAAACAATTTTCTCCACTATGGTTGACTTTAGTATAAATTTGAGGCTTCTGTACATATCCTTTTATAAGCTTATGGTTATTTGTAAATCAGTAACTGTAGTAAATATAATAATAATAATACCAGATGAGGAGAGACAGAAAGTGTGAGCAATTTGTGAGTAGTGGATGAGGAATTATGTGAGAGAAGAATTATATCAAAATTATGTAAATAAATATCAAAATATATTTTGATAAATTATGATGAACGACAACATTTTAGGGGAAAATTTAGACAGGAGATGAAAATAAAAGTAATATTTATCACCATAATTTAACTCCTGCCCCTTGAAAAGAAAAAAAAGGAAAAACAACCACAACATTCAGAGGATTATTTTTCTATCTTTTCCCTTTGGGCATTATCTGCATTTTTCACACAGTTCACCACTGTCATTTTTCACTTGATAGTCAAGAGAGCGAGACAGCGGAGATGAAAGTATACCCTCTTTATCCTTCCCTTGTTAGCTCCAAGGGAGATAAATTTGTGTTTGTTAGTTGAATAGAGAAAAGGTAACACACACAAAAAAAATAAAAAAATATATACTGAGGACAATGACTGATGTATAATACATATATATATATATTGTATGAAATATTATATATAGATAATATATATGAAAATGAATCAATAAAATGTATATGTTGAAAATATGATTATCTCTTCATATCCCAATGCAATTTGGCTCTGATTTTCCATATTTCTTCATGGTTGAAATTTAATTTGCCTAAAAGCCGCCCCAAAATGGACGCTCGACATTCTCACTTCCGCTCGTTGGTGCCTCTTCATCGGCCGAAGAAAGGGACTCAAACTCATCTCAATTTATTGAAATGAGAATTGAGTGCTGTGTTCAACACAAGACTGAAAAGTGTTGACTAAATATTGACCTAAGCTTTCGACATTGCAATTATCCGGGCGGCCCATAAAGGTGGGCTTCTGGGTGGGGGAGTGGTAAACATCTCTGGGTATTTCCAGGTGTCATCAATTCCTGCCATCGAACGCCCACTGAGCTATGGTAAGTGGATTTGTTTGTATGTATAGCAATACACAGATGAGCTTTCGAAGCACTTCATCCATTCGTCCTTCGGTCTCCTTACGTAACGTGCAAGAGGCCCCAATTGAAAGTGGAGCAAGAGGCAGTCTCGTGGAACTACCCGTGCTCGTGGCGTAGAAAAATTTGGGTCGCCGCTCAAATGAGGCCATCACCCGGCGAAACTCGAGACAAGTGCGCCACTTTCTCCAACCCGACCCGCTCTCCTGGACGTGTCACGACGGGAGATCATTAATCGAGAAGGCCAATCACAGCCAATTTGGCCGCACACACTCTCGGCGTGGTGGAAAATTGAGTTATGAGCAGTTAGATTGCACGCGGCGAACGACCTTTCACCACCTAATTCGCCTTTGTCCCACACTTAATTGAGCTTCCGAGAAGAGTCCTTTGGAGAGCTTTTTCCCAGCAGCGCTATTGCGTCTCTCCGCCTAAGCGTTTGAGGGAATAAAGGTTATCTGATATCATTAGTCGACAACATATAGCAAAATATCACTTCTCATCTAGTCTATTTTGAAAATAATCCCGGATACTTTCAAATACCTCCGCGACCTTTTTGCTCAAATACACTCAGAACATTCTCATGGCAAATTCAACGTACTATACTTAGCAACAAAGATAATGAGTCTCATAATTACACTCTCTTCCATTCAAATTATTTATTTATCACGAGAAGGTCCTTTCAAATTTTTCCAGGCCTCAGGCGAACATGAGTTCATGGTCGAGCCCACGCAGAATTGCTGCAATTTTCCCTGGGAAGGATGCGAAATTGAAAAGTTACCACGCGTCTCTGCTGCGGAGCGATATTTGTGGGATGTGGTAACAACGGTAACGACCTTTGACATTTACACACGCCACACCAAAGGCACGTCTCTTTGGAAGATACAGGGAAAAATTAGCCGAATTCTCACTCTCACAGCTCTGAGAATTGAGAGGAAAATTCCTCGCACAATTGCTCAACTTTTCCACCCGTTTATCACGAAAGCGTCTAATTGATTGATTTGACTTTTGTCCTTAGCATCTTGTTCCCGGAAAGCCGTCCGATGAAGTAATTTCTAAAGACACCCTTCTTGCTATCATGACAGACAATGAGATAATAAACACGAATTTATTATGATTATACCAATTACACCTAGAAAATGTCACTAAACATCATACTTTGCTAGTGAAAGCTTCCCGGAATTTCCGAATAAGTGCAACATTTCCTCTCCATAGACTCGCCTTGGCGCTTCCGATTCCACGAATCATAAACTAATGTGTGGTGAAATAAAATTAATTCTACTGAATGTGTGGACAATTATGTGTCGCTATTTATCACAGGGCATTAAAATACCAGGAAACTCCAGCATTATTTCAATTGCCATTGCACAACAGAGGGTGACACACTTCTAATGGACATATTATGGCGCAAAGTTCGCTGGAAAAGTAGGTGGAGATGCAAACAATCGATAATCTTCTGGAATTTCCAATTACAAGGAGCCTTTTTTCTCCCTCCATTTGTTGACACATCACTCAAGCCAAGCGAAGAACATTGCTTAATTTCGAGACAATCAAATGGCATTTATTGTGACTTCCATAAGAGCATTTTATGTTCAATGCTAGGGAACATTGGGAAAAGCCCAGAGAAAAGGTCATTTCTTATTATATTACATTAATAGGTTAATGAACCTCCATTTGCCATGACTTTTCCATCCTCCCGTTCAAGCATTCCGCAGAAGAAGCGTTTCTTCTGTGTCAACAAATCAATTGAAACGCAAACATCTTTGGCATGAACGAAAGCGGAAAAAGTCACCAAGAATATGTTTTGCAACCAAATAAGGGCCATTATTTGATTATTCTCTCAATTTTCTCTACCCAAACCGACTCAGTCTCACAGCATTCAATGTGAAGGGTTCACTCAGCCTGTCTCTTTTATTCGCAAATTTCCATCTTATTCGCTCTGTGAGAAATTTCTGACATTTGACCTTTGCAGATTTTCATGTTCGGGGAAAAAAAAATAATTCAAGTTCATTCATGAGACGAAATTTGGCAAGGGCTTCAAGGGAGAAATGCTTCAGTTACGCAGTTGTAAATTAAAAGTATTGTGGACAAAAGCAAAAGAGACAATAGCAAAAGAAATTGGAAAAGTGTTTGCATAAGTAAAACCGTTGTTTAGTCTCAACGCTTCTGATAAATTTAACATCATTTTTTTTTTTAAGTCTGGCATCAGAAACACTTTCACCGTCTGAACAGGACGTAAAATACAGGAAATGTGCAAACTTTTCCTAAGCACACAAATACGAATCTATTGTTGAGACCATTTTCAAAGGATTGGCCACTTAAAGCATCCTTGTAATTGGCGAGAGTTGCTTTGATATTAAGGGACAACTTTAGCGTGTTATCAATTTGTATTTTTGCTCTGTAATTTCCATTAGGAATAAATCTGTCTTGGCTATCCGTCGTATTTTCCTCATCTTACAGATCCCACTTTGAAGTGAGCCCAGCAAGATAATTTTCTTAGTTGAAAAGGAAACGAAAGCCCGAAGAAATAATCACTTGAAAATATACCTTTGAATAGAGTTTATGCTACGGTTATTTTACTAGAGAATTTTATAAGGTGTTAACTTCAAAGCTCGTAACTCGATATAAGAGTCGTGGAATATTCAAGGAATTATACTTACAAAGGCCGAGCCTTTAAGGACTCTTAGTCGCACTCCCGTCTTCTGATGTCCCGCGGCGAGAGGGTCAGGAGGCCACGCTAATGGCGTGCCGGATCGAAGAAGAATCGGTGTTGCTGTCTTGCGTCCGGGATGGGCGGAACTCTTGCAGACTTAGCGGCACCGCGACCCCCACCCGCACTTGGCACAGGACACGGGCCCCCGCCCGCGGAAGCTCTCCTGGCGGCAGCGCGACTGTGTCGCCACGGTTCCCCCGCACGAGCACGTGTTTGTGTGTCGCAGGGTCGCTGAACTTCCGCGCTGTTTGACGCGACTGCACGGACGCCGCCGCGCTTTTCTGCTAATTTCATCCGCCGGATGCCCCGAACTGGGTCACACTGCGCGACGGAAATGAGACTTTGCAAACTTGCAAGTGGAAATTCGATTTTCAATATGGGAACCTTTGCAATTATTATCAGCACTTAAACCGCTGTTTTCAAATCCACACGCTATATGCTTTATCGCCGAAGAGCATATGCTGCACGCATGCAATGCAGCAAACTTTGAAGAGTGCAGAAAATCGGAAAATCTAAGTATTTTCACAGTCTTATTAAGTAGAAAATTTCAATAGACAAAGGACATATTCAAATCTTCCGGAAACTTTGCAGTATTGGATAAATGTTCTCTAGACTCTCAGCAATTTCCTGTCTCGATTTCGCGCCCGTGAAGACAATCTTGCCATTTACGAATATCAACAGCACCACGCGAGGCTTCACCATCCTGTACACGAGTCCCGGGAAGAGTTCTGGCTCGTACGAGCTGAACTGCCCATGCATTTGATTGAGATTCTCCAGGCGAATCGGAAAGCGCAGATCCACAGTCGCCACGAGATTCTGCAACTTGAAGTCTGTGAATCTCACCGGAAAGCCTAGCTTTTGGATGATTCGGGCGAATTTGCGGGTGCCCAATTGCGATGCCACCTCTGTGCGGGCGCCCGTGCACACCATCTTACCGGATCGGAAGATCAGGGCTGTGCAGCGCGGCTCCCGGATTCGCATGACGATGCCGTGAAAGCGGGACGGATTGTACTCTGAATTTCTCGTCCGGGAGTTGATTTTCTGCAGGTCAAGTGTGCAATTCAAATTCACGGTGGACACGCAATTCCTGGAAAGGGCAAAAATAGGATAGAAAGTGGAAAATCCTGGGCAGTAAGTGAGAAACGCACTGAATCTTAATGGAATTTACAGCTTCCTGAGGTCCGGATGGAATAGGCGTTTGGGGCACCATGCTGAGTTGTGGGGGCAACATTGGCTGCAAGAAGAAGAGAGAGAATCCGTGAATCCAAGGATATATTCTGGGAAAACAGGAAGTTTCTGCAAGACTCACTTGGGGTCTGGAGATCTGACGTGGCGTCGCCGGACTGGACAGAAGCGCTCTCAGTGGGGACTCAGGAACTGGTGGACGCTCCATGGTGACTCAAAGTTCCCGGACAGTGCGTTAAATTAGTAAAATAAGTGGATAAACAACACGAACAGGTGAAAAGTCCTAACATGGAACTCTCAGTATTTCAATAGCCCGCAAATAGGCCGAAGTACACTGTAAAAAAATCAATGAAGTGAGAAAATGTCAGATTCTTTGGGTGCGCTTGTGCCTTCAATTGTCCTTAAATCTCCGTAATTCCGACGAAAAAGATTTGTAAAATGAAAGATTTGGTGATAGAGAACCTTTTTCCTGCATCTTGCCCAGATATATCAGAAAACATTGCTGCAGGAATGATTTTCCCAGATGTCCCTTGAAAGTGAGGTTAGTTCTCATGATATTTTATTTGTCTGATTTTATATGAAAATGGGTAAAATTGGGAAAAAAATTGGTAGTAATATAATTATTATTCTGTGATACTCATTTCAGAGTCAAGTCATCATCCACTTGGACATCGTATTGAGTTATCGGACGAATATTGCATTCTGGGAACAATAGAGAGTGTAACTGGATTTTTGGATTTGTGGAGAAGCAAAGAAATGCTCTTTATCATGGTATTCAGCAATCCATCAGCCGGTTTTCACATGGACTTTGGTTGACCTCCATCCGCACTCTGAGCTCCTTTATTCTCATCAGTCATGCAATCGTCCAGTTCTCTGTGAATCGTCCAACGAACAACAGGTCAGAAGACTTTCTCCTCAAATTCGGGGCTTCGCCGGCTAATTTTGTGGCTTTCCAGAATCTTTCCAGGTACTTTGCAACCCCGAGCCAGCAAGCTGAGAAGAGATGGATTCCCCTAAGCACATCCGCTGCAAGTCAGAGCGCCCCTTCGTGTTCCGGCTGGACCTGGACTGCGATGACATCCAGAACACCATGTCGATGCGCCACTTCCACTCCATCCTGGAGTGCATGCGGAAGCTGTCCGTCGACGATGAGTGCCGCTCCATCGTGATCTCGAGCTTGGGCAAGGATTTCTGCACGGGCGTGAATATAGACAACCTGGAGAGATTCAACAGCGAGCAGGCGCGCATCGAGGACATCGCGCGCCGCGGAAGATCTGTGGACGAGCGAGTATCGATCATCCAGCGCGCCTTCTCGGCCATCGAGAACTGCCCCAAGCCCGTGATTGCGGCCATTAACGGGGCGTGCGCGGGTCCCGGCATGGGGCTGATCTCAGCGTGCGACATTCGCTACTGCGACGCCGATTCCTGGTTCCAAGTCAAGGAACTCGAGCTGGGCATTGCCGCGGATTCGGGCACACTGCAGCGCCTGCCGAAGATTATGGGCAATGATAGCTTCACCCGTGAGATGTGCTACACCGCGCGTCGCGTGGACTCCGACGAGGCGCTCAAGTATGGCCTGGTGAGCCGCGTGTTCGACACCAGAACGCAGACGCTCAACTACGCCATGGACATGGCTGAGCGCATGGCACTCGTGAGTCCGGTGGGTCTGCAGAACTGCAAGAAGTCCATCGTCTTCTCGCAGCACCACTCCACTCAGGATGGCCTGGATCATATCGTAAGTCCGCATCTCTTGTCGCTGCTGCAGCAGCTTCTCTCACTGCTCTTTTTGCCTCTTTTCCAGCGCGAAATCAATTGCCTGGCACGTCAGTGCGAGGACTTCCACATCTCCATGGGCCCGGCCATCACGGGAGCCGAGAGGCCCAACTACGCCAAGTACTGAGCAGCTCCGCCCCATTTCCAAGGCATATGCAATTCAGGGTGAGTGGTTTTTGTGAATAAATTTTCTATGGCAACAAGTGATGAATTACTTTTCCCGTTTTTCGCTTTTTGCTGGAACTTTTTGATGAGGTTTTCGATTTGTCCAGATTTCACACTTTTTTTAAGGAGCTGTTGGTGTATAAATGAAACGATCAAGCTATGGATTTCTTCTTCAGTTGAAATTGTTTTTTTAATATAGGCAAAGAATGAATCTTGGCTGAGAAAAGTGAATTGATTGAATGAAAACTCTCCAGCATTGCTAAGTAATTAATACTTTGATTGAGTAGAACTTTTCATGATACTTTCCATGCTTTTAATTCAATTGTCGGTCTCGAAAGTCTTCCGTCTTCGAAGGAGTAGAACAGAAAGTACGACTCTTGATGCAAGTGAAGAGAAATATCGTCATATTTATCCTTCTGTTTGCGCTGAAAATCAAGTGGGTGAAGCTCCGAAATGTGGCTTCTTTCAAATTAACAAAAGCACTCAGGAGACATGATGCACGTTCTTGTTGGTAAAGTACTTTTGCCACTTTTGCATACAAAATGCGGTACTTTGAACTCTTATGCTGGATGAGCAGAAGGATTTATTCTCGCTCTTCTTCGCTCACGTCCGTCTTAATCGCAATTTACGGGTGGTCTCAGTGCGACAAACGCAGCGCAGGAAGTGACATGAAGTTGTGACCCTGTTTTGGTATAAATGGAACTTTTATAATTATCCCTCGTGCTTGCACCGAGGATTACTAATAATCTCCACGAGATAAACACTTCACAACTCCGGTAGTATTAGTTTCAATATGTGACGAAGAGCGAAATTAACCAAACTGGTATTCATTTTCCTGTGTTTTTTTTCTGAGTTTTGTGACATAGAGAGATGATTGAAAAGGAATAACTAAAAGGAAAACCACATGAAAGTGCTTTGAAAGTGTGAACAGCGGTTTAATTTGTAATTCCTCGCAAGCTCGACACACAACACTCTGGCAAGTGGGGCAATAAAGGGACTGAAGGGTTAATTCCACAGTGCAACTTGCGCATCTTCCAATTCTGGGATCTTCAGCTGAGGAAGTCCATTTGGCCGGGCTTCGCCTAATCTGGCCGGAGAGTCGCAACTTTTATCTCTTGACCCTCTTGCGCTCCGGTGAGTTGCGGTGCTATTCCGTAATTCCACCTGCATTTGCCTGAGCACATTGTCGGGGTGGCGATTAAAAGTTTCCTTGCGGAGCGTGGGTGTTTATGCTGTGTACTCAGAGTAATTGAGTCCAGGGTGTGCCTCCTTGCCGACACACAAGATACAATGTTTACCAGGTGTAAATCACACGTGCAGGACAATTGAAAAAGGCATTACTCGGGCACACAGACGGGCCCCGGTGGGGCGGCTGTGAGTAGTGTGGGTGGGTGTGAATTCTTAGATTAATGCGAAGCCATTTGCATGGTTCTGCTGCGACAGCATGTGGGGCGTGTGTTGAGCTTTCGAATATTCAAATATGGACATGGTGTGATTGCGAGAGAGCTCCGAAATGCTTATCAGTGGCTGTAAAGTTGTAAGCAAGTGCTGGAAGACATGCAAAATTTGCCGTTTCGAGGAATGGTTCAAATTTGAATTCCTCGTGTCACATTTAAATGAATTTATTATTGCCTTGGTACATTCGTTGAAGCAATTGTGCAGATTCTCGTCCATACAAAAAGGGGGTGGACTTCTCTGGAGCTCTTCAATTGTTCTCTGATTGCGTGAGACAAATATGCGGCCAGACTGAGGACACATTCGTGAAAGGATGGACAATTTAAAGCGATTCATGCTACAATAATGGCGATTAACTGGTAATTTCAAGGAACACACACACACACACAAGTTCATTTCACTTCATTTGGGAATGACTTGGAAGGAGCCCAAGAAGATATCAAGACTGAGATTGTGTTTCTTCTTGCAGAAATTCCTTTATTAATTGACCAATTCGAATATGATCCACTTGTCATGAAGTTTATTATACTAAGGCGCCTGGCGTGGAAAACATTCTGAAGTTAAATTGCGAGATGATCCTGCAAATTTGTGGCAATATTTTCTTTTTGGCGTCCTTCCAGCCCAACCCACTTGGCCACTTTAAAGTTAGAAGAAGCAGAGAAACGAAACATGCCAACACTTTAATTTCAAACTGAGATTTGAGTTTGAGCAATTTTTTTTTCTCGGGTGTTCCAATTACAAAGTCTCACGGCAGTGAAATTATCGAAGTAATTTCTGCCATATAAATATCCTTGGAGCAAATAATAAAGCCTCTTTATATCAAGATGAGGCCGAGGAAAATCGTGGAAACTTTGATGGTTCAAAATTGGCTTAATCTTTTTTATTCAATTTACGTGACTGCAACTATTTTACATATCGTACGAGTATTAACTGTACGTGATGTGAAACACGAGATGACTTCCTCTCCCTCCATAATAGATAAGAGTTTTAACAGTGTTTGTGGATTTCTTTTCCCAACGCCATGGCAAGAAGGCGGAAAAAGCTTCCGCACTGTTGTCGAGCACTTCCGCATTGATTCGTGAGAAGAGAGATTTGCTGTGAATTTCAACCGAACGGAATTATGTATGATTTCTGTGGGTGAGAAAAACGGAAAATTAATATGCCATTGTAAAATTTTTCATTGGGATTTTCTTCACCGCGTGCGAGAGAAAGAGAGCGAGCAATCGAGCGAGGGGGCGAGGAAATTCCATAGAAGGGGTGGCGGAGGAAATCTCACAAATTGCGCGGTGAAAGGGAAATTCTCGGGTGAGAAAATTGGTATGTATTCGCTGGGAGGTCGAAATAGTAAATTGAACACGTTTTTGCGAAATGTTGTAAAAAAGGCCCTTAATAAAATTCTTTCACATTATATTTTCTCACCACTTTTCTCCCACTCAGTGCATGGCGTAGGATTGTGAAATCGATATGGAATCCCGAGGAAAAATGCTGCTAGACAGAGAAATTATTGAGGAAAATAGAGGACGACAATGTAGAAGCGGTACTCAGTGTCGATGTGAGAGACTGTGAAGCGATCCTTTTCATGCCCAGATATTGCCAGAAAGACGTGGAAAGTGCCTGAGTATCGGTCAATTTCCCTCCTGCATTGAGAGATCCTCCCACAAAATCCCACACCATCTCAGATTTGTCTGTGAAATTGGCAATGAATGCTTGGAGTGAAAAATGATTTTCGTCGGAAAAACAATTGTGACGGGTGTTTTTCACAGAGAGTCTGAAAATTGGAAAGTGCCATATTCGTGCACCTTCCACTTCAATTATGCATATTGTGAGGAACTCCTCTGAAACGTGGAAGACAAAGGTATATGTTATATTGCTAGTTCCATTTATTGTTCCAAGTGTACACTTCAATTACGGTCTGAGTGGTGGAAAAAAAAGCAACGGATGGCTATAAATTTACAATCGTGAATTGTGTACTGCAACAATACTGCGTTAATAGAGAATTGGAACAAAAGAGCTGTTATTTCGTGTAATTTATAAATCAAGACATTGATTGGATTTGTGCAGCAGATAGAGACTATCAAAATAATATGATCAGACATGAAATGCAATTTCATGCACATTCGCTAAATTCTCTTAATTTTCAATATTTCCAAAAAAACAAGATGCGGTCCTCGTCCCTGCATATGCATAGATATGCATTTTCGTCTACTCTGTGTCTCTGTAATGAGAACTATAAATAATAGATGTGGCTGAGCGTAAGGGATTTATTGAAGACACGAGAAGCATGAACTCCGGAAATAGCACATTGTTCGTGTTTCATGCAATCCGAGACTGTGTTGGAAAACATCATGAAATTCGGTGAAAACAGTTGCAAATTGAGAAGGCAAGTAATATGAGTATGTTTAATTATTTCCAATTAAACGGCAGAAATTCACATTGCATCCCTTTCCCTTTGGCATGTCCTGCGGAGAAAATACCCATCAGACTATGGCATTCGGGTTGGATTGTAATTCCACTTTAATTTCTCAAAGCAATTTCGTGTTGATGCGAGGGCGAGGAAAAAGCTTCGCAAGGGCAGAAAAAATCATATTCATATCAATTTTTTTTTCTCTGAAACTCACCCGTCGCCTCCACCGCAATAGTCTCGTGTATACGGCAGAACGGCCGTACTATGCGAGAAGTTCAAAGCAAATATGTGTTCTGTGATAATGACTTTTCATAAACACAACATATCGTGTTGATGAAACATTAAACAACAAATTTTATTAGACTTTTAGCACGAAAGTCGCTATCATAGCAGAGAAATGTAACGAATATGAATATAGAGTGGAAAAGCGACGTGGATAAAAAATCAAGGCGGCTTTTTTCTGCATTTGCCACTGAATATGTGTGTGTGTGAGTGAGGAAAATGGGGAGGAAATGAGAGATGAAAAAGTTATGCATGCAATTTTCCAGTAAATTAATGTCGATGTAACGGCATTGATATTCCTAAGGCTGTCAAGGAGTAAACACACTCATTTGAGGTGAATAAGCATTTGGGCGTAACCGACGATGGCAATTTGTGCAGGGGAAAATGTCATTTTTGTGCAAATGCAATGAGAAACCATTTCCTATGAAGTTTATTTGGTGAATTGTCCACATATTAGAGATACATACATGTAGAGAGAGAGCGCTTTTTCGCCTCGAAAGGCATTCCGGTTTGTCGGAATGTTTGGGGCAAATGGGAAAAGAGAGCAGCAAATATTCACATTGAATACAAAAGTCTTTGATATATTTGTACTCGGCAAGGTCTGACATGGCACATAAGTCAACTGCAAAACCAAATTTAATAGCAATACACAAATGCAAATGAGATTTTTTCATGCAAACCCACACACATTTCCATGCCCCGAGCCAAAAGCTCTCGCTTTCTCTTGCTTTGTGTTTTATTTTCCACCCCACAAAAATGCCTCAAATCGATATATGGCAAGTGTGTCAAAGGGCCTGGAAACAATATAATGTCTTCGCTTGAGTGTCTGTTTTGCTGATGAGAAATTGAATTGGCTGTGAGTGCATTAATCAATCAATTTGAGTGGGTAATTGGGGA